TAAAGAACAGAAGATACTTATACAGCATGTAACAGAAACTGACATTTCAAATGTGGAGTCAAGTGACATGTGAGACCCAAAAGAACAGGTGGGAAACAACACATCACAATGCTCTTAGCGCACCTTAAGCACAGTAAAATTAACTAACAATCCTCACATGCATCCATCTGGGTTATATTAGTCATTACAATAATACTTAGCACCAAAGTTCATGCTATTTGGTAGGAGTAGATTAGATTCCAAAGAATAAAACCATGACCATACAAAAGGCAAAATCCTTATAGAAGTCCCAAAGCATGCAGAAACAGGACAGAAACAACAAATGAACAAATGCCATGGTAGATTCCAACATATCCCTATAATATACAACAACAACTAGAAACCTATCAGTATCAGCTGTCAGTTCCACTACTGGCAAGCAGTTCTTCAGTTGCTCATTCCACTAAATACATTTATCTCATCACACAGATACATGTAATAATTATATTATTTTACTTCATATCTAATAGTCTACACAGAACAACCATCCCAAGAATGTTTTTTCCTTAGAAAGGGCCAAAAAAAAATCAAAACTTGCATCAACGCAACATCATATGACCATGGAAAGCCAACACGCTTAAAGGCTTAAATGATATGTTGATCACACAAATATGTCAAGTTTTCACAAGCATGATGTGGAAGCTGGGTGAAAAGAACATCTATTATCAATCATATATTTGCATACATCAGTAGTAAAATATAGGTAGAAGCAGCTACCTCCAAAGCATGTGAAGAATGGTCATCCAAAAGACAAAATACCAGACATTCAAGCAATGTTCTTCTAGAAATCCCAAAGGTGGCAGCAAAATCATCCACAAGATACCTCCATTCTGAATCTGGTCTAGTCCAGTGTCGATCAAATAGATAATACAAGAACTATAAAAATGTCAAGGACATACGGAGGAAATAACATGTTTGTGAGGAACCATGAAAATATTTTTGTTCATTATTAGATAGCAGGGCCAAAGGATACAATCGCTTGCTTTGCAATCACCATATCAGATGATCCATGCAGGAAGAGTACATCAACTGCCTCTCGCAAGTCCTTAAATGGGTATTTATCAACACTGAACTGATCAATTGTGGAACAGAACATAGATGATGACTGTTCACTCTGCAAACAGACAATTTCCACTCCTTCCTCGCTACCACTATTGCTTTCTTGAATCCCAAGGTTCTGTAGTGCCTGCTCAATGAAAAGTATCCCCTGGTTGGCTTCATTGTACGCAGATGATTTATCAGAGAATTCAGGCCATTTCCGTTCTTTTGCATCTGCCTTTCTTTTAATCACATCAGAACTCCAAGATGCTAAGTTAGTGTGCCTTGAGGGTATGTCCTCAAGAAATTTATGCCTGATGCACCACATCATGGCCTCCAAATGCTGTAAAAAAAAGCTCCAAAATGGACACTTCATTCAGACATAATGACAGTAAGAAACATCTGGCTACTTCTCTTTTCATGCATTCAGTGATAAACAAATGGTAGGGATATACATAAAAAATATATACGAAGCATTTCAACATTGATTTTCTCATTTTCTTGAGAAATTGTCCCATGTCCTAGTCCCTAGACCTAGTATAGCATCGCGATGGAAGAGAAAAGCAGTGCACAGACATCTTATCACCTACTGGAGAGATATATTCAGTTTCGGAGAAGTAGTGCACAGACATTTAACTAAAATAACGATGTTTCTTCCACCTTTGACACTGGGAGCTATAGTTTTACCACTAGAAACTAATCAAACAGAACTAAATCATATATGATACTTCTCCATCGTTTTGTTCAGTAAATACTGAACCACCCAGAGCGATTAGTAGTGCTCCACCACCATGACTGTGAATATTCCAATATGAACTCTTAAGTGACCTAAGTAGCTCTAGCTTCTTGGCAAAACAACACTAGTAGAACCATTCCATGAAATATCATAATGCATGGGCACCCATTGTGCTGCCTAGAGTAGTTTATTCTATTAGCTTGATCATTGTGGCAGTGAAAAATTTATAGCAGAAGTGGAGTTAAGACAAAACCTGTTTCGCCTTCAGCGTGCTTTCCATAAGTTGATGAAGGTCATTAACATGAGCTGAAACTGCTTCACTAAAAGATGTGATCATAACTTCAACAACACTGGAAATTCCTGCCAACTGCACAGCAAACTTCTGCAGTTGGGATAACTTAGACATCATCATCTCTAATCCAGATCTATCTAAACTATGGTTAAGGTATTATTTAGCACTATATTAAGGGACGAAATGCTAACAAAAATGCAGTAAATTACAGAAAAATACATGTTCAATGGTCGTAGCTGCAAAAGGGCAAATGTTTGCTGGCTAGGGGACCTAACCCTCTGCTTTGTGCTCATGTGGTTTCAGAAAACCCAACCCTAAACACATCTATCCTCCTGTGAGTTTGAGGTCAAGCTCCACTCTGGTTGAGCCACCACCATGTGATACACCAATAATGAGCCCGCTATAGCAGCAATTTCCAGCCCGATGCTATTAAGCTGAGATTCCGTTAAGGTGTTTTTTTTTGTGAAACTTGTAGTTTTATGTAAAAACATGTGTTTAAATGCAGCTAATGAAGAAAAAAAATCTGGGCTTTCCTGCAACGCGACCATAAAACATGCTGTTTTCTGTAATTTACTTAAAAATACAATATCATAAATTTCATTTGAAGTCAAGCATTTGCTGGATACAAATCATGTTAATCTCAGATATCAGCGCATTAACAGCCTTCTTGCACCACTCCTTGATGACCACCTCATCCAAAAGAAAAGCCAGAAGTGGATCACTTGACACAGCATTCTCATCCAAACAAACATCTGTGGTATCTGGTATAAATGTCAAGGTGAAACCATGGGAACAAATGTAGCATATATATATAATGAACATGAGCCATATTATCAGCCTAAAGCAGAATAAACTTCTGAAGAGGATACAGTGGCAGATCAAGGAGGCCAAATTGTTTTGAAGGGCAACATCAAACAAGGAATGTAGCCGTTGGACGTCCAAGTTAACAGGATCACTATGGTCTTCCTTTTCCTGAAACCTTTCATCATGCTGCTTAGAGATAAGGCCAGCTTCCAGGCACTTGTAGTAAAGGCGTAGTCGAACCCTATTCCCAGTGTCTGGTATTGGGCTCCTGCAAATTGGGCAGACATCACATCTTTGGCTGCACTCAGCACATAAGGATGCATGCCCGCATGAGTTAAGCACATGCTGCACATAGCGGCCACAGCTACTCAAGTCCCTAGTTGCACGGCAATGCTCAATTCTAGCCTCCTTGCATAGTTCAATGAGATCAATGGATGCCAGCTGCTCCAAAGCATTCTGCAAACAGATTTTTCAGAAACTAATCACAAGATTTAACCACTTAAGAAAGCAGTTAGATTCTATAAGCAGGAAAATTTTGAGAAACTAGGCACGTGACATTTCCAGTGTAGGATAGCACAAAGGCAGCAACTGCTATTTTCATATCTGTGCACACCTGCAAGCTTGTGTTTCTATGTGTGGAGTCGAGGTGTGCAGGTCTGCAGGGTGGGGTAGGTATGTAAATTTCCAAAATGTATTCCCGATTGGATTTCTCTAAAGATGCTCAAAGCATTCATCACAGATGAACCATCTCATTGCCATTGTATCATGGTCACTTAAATTAGCTTGCACTAAAACGCCCTAAACCAGTTGTGTTCAAATTTTAGGGCATCATTATACTAGTTAAACATATTATATATGTTTAGTTGAACACATTGTGCTTGATTTCTATGTTTCCAATTGAAAGCTAATTGGTAAGCTAGTTGTAAAAAAAAAGCAACTAAACCAAATTGATAAGTCAAATGTTGCACCTAGTTTCTACTAGTTACACCTAGCATCGAATAAGAGGTTGAGCTACCATAGCAGGAGTACTTCTGTGATGAGTGATGACCACGCCATACTAATTTCACCCCAACTCAAAGCCGAGAGCAGTTTGAAAATCGAACCCTGGTTCCTAAAGTGAGGAAGCAACTCGAAGCAGGTTGGACCTAATGTGGGGTATGGGGGGGATCAGATGAACCCCAAATTTAACGAAGAAAAGCAAATCGAGGGAAATGGACCAATCGAACTGGATCTCCGCCTAACGATGTGGCAGTTCAGTTTTTCTTTCTCGGTTTGAAACTGACCTGCTCCATCTCCGATTGGTCGACGCGGGCAGAGCTCTGGGCGACCTCGCCGTTGCTCCGTCGACCTCCCAGCGCCGCTGCGCCGTCGGGCTGCTCCGCCGACGGCCGCGGCCTCCAGCAAATCACAGGCTATGGTAACCTCTTGAAGAACAGCAGCAGTCGGGGGAGAAGGCGAGGGAGCGGGCGGGCGGCGGAGGTGGTGGATATCTAGGAGGAGGACGCTGCGGCGCCCGCGCGGGGATGGGGGAGGACGCGCGACGGCGGCGGCGGCGGCCGGTGAGGTTGACGACGACGGCGGCGTGAGAGGCGGGCGGCCCTCGATAGTGGGGAATAGGGTTTAGGGATTTCGGTTTCGGGGGAGGTTGATGGAGCTTGGGCCGTCGATGGCGAACAAAGTATGGGGGCTAGTGGCCCAACTGGCTTTTACTAGGCATTGTTGGTATTTTCGGTTTAAACTAAGGGATTATAAACTGTGAGACACTATAACTTATACTCGATTCGTAAAAAAAAACGCAATTCTAGATTTGAATGTACCTGAATACATGTGTGCCCAGATTCAAACCTATGATTAATTTTTTTTCTGGACGGAGGGAGTACGTAACTAGTATAACACGAATATCAGCGCAACATCTTATGGCTTATAATTCGAAAGCTAGTAAGAAAAAAAAAAACTGCCGCGAGTTTTCTAGCAAATACGTCAAGCTAAAGGTGTAAAAGGATAAACTGAAAACTGAAAAAAAAATGTCGGTTATGTTTTTGTTTGCTTTACTCACGGATTTGAATTGGCAGAGCCACATTCATGCATATATTTTTGTATCGAACATGAATGTATTTTTATTGAATATAGTCTGAGTCGATAGTTGATCTTGTTAGATCGAATACAAACATCCGCATGAATGTTTCAAAAAGATTTCTTGCCCTCTGAAAGTTATCCTTGCTCGAATACCCCCATGTTGTCCAATATATAGCAAGGGGAATAAATTACATTACAAGTTTAATGAGTACACAAATGATTTATTTTCCTTGTTTGTCGATCAGTTCTAGCCGTTAAATGAGGTTTGCTCATCTTTATCTGTGCTCGAGGCAGCAAACTTAGCAGCAAAGTTATTTAGACCCAACTTAAACATTTCAAGATTAACACCTCCATCCCAATCAACCAGTATGCTCGTCACTCCCATTTTTGATACCTGAAATTTAAGAGTCGAATATATTAATAGTTAGTGTCATGCAAAATCACAAAAATGCTGGCAATTACATTTACATGTGAGCATGATGTATGTATATATGTAATTACTAGTTAACTGCAACGTGATCACTTAACATGCACCAGCTGAAAATGCATTTCTTTATGCGCTTGCATAACCTTAAAAAGGCCTGTAGGCAATGTTCATTATCTATAGTAGTACTATTTTAAAAGATGTTAGTGGTGGTGGTGGTTCTGTCACCCCCAACCTATATAACAAGCGGAGGCCACCATCTATCTCTTGGGCTTATTATTGTTGACCAACAATGTACTAAAGTGAGAAGCTCTATTTGCTTCATGTACATTGTACAACATATTGTTTATCATATCATCCTTAATAAGAACAAGAGTGATGATTTAGTTTTAATCAGTTCATCTAATATAATTAGAGCCCGCTGCAACACACGGGTATTTTGCAGTATGAACAACATCTGGCATTTTTCAAACGTGCAAATGATAGATATACTTCACACTCTCTTTTTTTTTTGTAAAAAACTGTTTGATTAAACAGAGAGTTCAACATGGACCATATCATCATCATCGACATCCACTGTTCAACATGTTCAGCAATTGGATGGTAGCTGAGGATAAAGGGATTGCAGTAAACCATTTTTTTCAGATAATGGAATAGATTGCAGTAAACTAATAAGACTTGGTGATTTACCGTTGCAAAATTTCTGTGCTCGTCGTCAAAGAAAAGCATGGACTCGTATGGAATCCCAGTCGTCCTCTGGATCCTTTGGAAATGCTCGGTCTTGTGAGTCCAGCTATCGAATATTTCCTTCATACAGTGTTCAAGGTTAAGTAAGAACAATGCTATTCTTAAAGTGAGAGAGAGAGACAGAGAGATCAGCACAAAGGCGCATACGAATCCTATCGTCTTTTTGTGGGATAGAGAAAAAAGTTTGTGCTATGCCCTCGCAAAAGAAAGACTATATATACATTGCAACATCCAAAATTTGACAGTATGCCTCATTAAAATCATTAATGATACTACGTACGAGCACTTCTTTTAAATCTGTAAATGGAAGATATTTGTATAATTTAAAAGATTGAAACGAGAGAAATGTCCACTTCACATTCCTGAGTTTGCTTCCATTCAGCTTGCAGTTTTCTTATTTCATACGAGGAAAATCCTGCTAAAATGTTCGTTCCCGGTGTGCTTGACGAACAAAGCCGTAATTCTAAGCAATTAAACCTGGAAGCTCTTTTTTACCATGATCTGCATTATCGCATCTACGTACGTGGCCCATTTTCCAAAGCTAAACTGAAACCCGAAAGCTTGTGCGACAAGTATCTCCAAGCTAACTAAGGATGAATCAAGAATTAATTAAAACCCTTAATTTACCTTGGTGACGAACATGGGCTGGAGCTCGAGCTTGTCAAGGAAGTCGTTGGCGATGTCCGGTGTGGAGGAGCGGGACGCGACCGCCATGGCGATCCCCTTCTCCTTGAGGGCGCACATGATGCCCTTGGCGTGGCGGAAGAGCCTCGGCGAGTCGCCGATGGAGCAGCAGTCGCTGTCAGTCGAAACCGGAATCGAATCAACAAATCACACCCCAATCAGAAGCCATCCAAATCCAAGCATGCCTCGATCGATCGAGGAAACGGGAGGAATCAGAGAGAGTAATGGAGCGGACCAGTATAAGGGCCAGATGGTGTGGTCGAGGTCGAAGACGACGAGGCGGGGGAGAGCCTCGAACCGGCCCAGGATCTGCAGCGCCTCCGCCTTCACGCGCTCGTCGCCCATCTCTCTCCTCTCCTCTCCTCGCTACGGCGGCGGCGGCGGCGGCGGGAGGAGGTCGGGCTCGTCGCCGCGCGCGCGGGTTGTATTGACTGGGTTCGTCGACGCGTTTGATTGACTGGAAGAGAAGAAAGGAAAGCAGCGTGACTTCGGTTGTAACTAACCCGACCAACCGACCACGTCTCGGCGGGCGCGAGCGCGAGATTCCATTGGCGGATCGTTTCGCGCCGGCTCAATACTGGGCCGAGCCGAGACCTAGCTGTTGGCTGGGCCGAATTCGGCTCGGGCCCAAGATTTCTCTCGTGTTTGGTTGATGACAAGGGGAGAAAGAGAAGCAATGGAACCGGATCCTCTGACGCAGTGGCTTCTACGTCAGAGGGACGTCCGACCACGCTGCTTCGTTCGATCAGCATCGGACGGGAACGATCGAACACAGGGACGAACAAGCTAGCTGTCGCAGCCCACGCAAGAAAAATCGGCCCACGAAGAGGCTCGACTGCTGTCTCCACTCTGACACATCTGGAGCGCCCACCGGCGAGGACGGACATGCAGGGCCGGATCCAACGTGGGTGCAGGGGGATTCGAGTCTCCCCTACACCCACAAGACCCATGGATACCCGTGGAGTATCCCTTTCAATTTTTTCACTATAAATAATAAACTAAAGATCCCTAAATAGCTGGAGGTTAAAGAAACTGTATAATTGAGCCTCCCAACTTTTTTTTCCTGATCCGCTACTGTGGACATGCTAGAGCGGCGCCTACCGCCGGCAAAAATCAGCCCGGCCGATTCCATTCGGGAACATACGTCTAAAAGAAGCGTGTGAATACTCTCGTTCTTGCTTTTGCTGCAGAAGCCACGAGCTTGCCGTTAAACAAAAATCATTCATGACCAAACTAATTAAAAAGGAACACTAGCATTGTCAACTGGTTATGGATGCTTTTCACCATCGATTTGCTCATTAACACAGTAATACCGTAAAAAAGAGATGCACAGATACATATACGAGTCCTTTCCTTGCTTGGAACTGGAGGTGACAACATTGCCGCCGCCGACGGCGCCGGCGGCGGGAGTGCCATGGAGGGAGCGCCTTCGTGAGCTTTGCCATGGAGCACACCTGCATCTCCAGCGCCGCAATATAATCCGAGGCCTCCGCCAGCAGCGTCGAGAACACAAGCTTTCGGAACCTTCGCCTTGGTCACCACATGCGGCCGTGCGCGCGAGCTCTGCCGAGGAGCGCAGGGAAGATCCGGACAAAGCCAAGGCCACTTCAACCCGGGACTCCTGCGACCTCCTGACACTGGAGCTCGATTGGCAGCGCTTGCCTTCTCTTCCCCTTCTAGCGGCGCTCCGGCTGTGTCGACAGTGGAGACGGGCGGACGGCAGTCAAGCCTCTTCGTGGGCCGATTTTTCTTGCGTGGGCCGCGACAGCTTAGCTTGTTCGTCCCTGTGTTCGATCGCTCCCGTCCGATGCCGATCGAACGAAGCAGCGTGGTCAGACGTCCCTCTGACATAGAAGCCACTACGTTAGAGGATCCGGTTCCATCTCGCAATGCATAATAAAGTCTGAACTATAATTTTTTAAGTGAGCATAGCTTAACTCATTAGAATATTACTTAGCACAAGTGTTTATACTTTAGTGATATACGACGTACCTATTGAAGCGAGATACACATGATGACTTCGTCAATATACTCATACGGCAGTTTCAATATAATTTAATCTATCACTTAGGTTGTGCTATTTAATTAATTTGAACGGACTTAAAATGTGGCCTAATAATTATTTCTTGCGTACATGCTTACCTTATTCCAAACCATCTCTTGATTTGCCCATAGGGACGGTTTATCTGAGATACCTCGTATATAGGAGAACTTGCAAGTTTGGAGAACCATGCATAACTCGGTTGGCAAGGGTTGGTGGCGTTACCTCGTAGACACATGTTTCGAAGTCTTCAAAAATGCTCATATTTCACCTCGTAGACACCGGCCAATGGCAACGTCACATTTGAACCCATAATGTCAAGCCAAACATTGAATATACATTTAAGTTAATTCAGTATGACTCAATTCACCGATCGAATCAAATTCATCTGATTCGATCGAATCGTAACATCCACATAAATGAAGCAAAGACTTGCTCTCAGAAGTTATCCTGTACTCAAATACTCCATCTCGTACATGAGCAAGGGCAATATAAATTACAAGAAATGCATGCTTAACTTAAATTTATATGTTTTTCTTGTCTGTTGGTTCTAGTCGTTCAATGAGGCTATTCATCTTTACTTGTGCTCGAGGCAGCAACATTTGTGGCAAAGTTACTCAGACCCAACTTAAACATGTCAAGATTCACCCCGTTCTCCACCAGCACGCTCGTCACTCCCATTTTTGATATCTGAAAAGTGAAAACAAGAGGTGAATATATGAGTTAAGGTCACTACAAACCACAGAATGCTTGTAATGATAAATTACATGTGAGCACACATACGATATTTAGATCGACATGTACAAAGCACAAATTTAGATGGACATGCACATAATTACTAACTGTGATGATCACTAAGCAGGAAGAGATGAAATGACATGGTTTTATGGGATTGCATAAGATCGAAGCCTGAGGCAATCATGGGACATCATGGTAGTTTACTGAACAAGCTTCACCCACAACAAAAATTGTGCCATAGTAACTTTTCAGGCTTGTAGAAATTTGTTTATGATACTAAAAAATAAAGGTGGTCACACGGGAAAGGGCAATATGCCAGTATGAACAACATCTAGCATGCATGTTTGATGAAAGAATAAACTTGAGTTTTTTTTTTCTTTGGTGAAACCTGTTTAATTGAATAAAGATACTGGCATAGACCATATCATGGACATTCACTACTAAGATATTCGACAATTGGATAGTAGCTGGGTATAACTGATGGTCTACCGATTCAATATTTCTGTCCTCGTCATCAAAGAAAAGCATGGATTTGTAAGGAATCCCAGTCTTCCTCTGAATCTTTTGGAAATGCTCTGTCTTGTGAGTCCAGCTGGAGAATATTTCCTACAAAAATTACCAATATTAAGTAACATGTTATATTATTACTATGCTATTCTTGAGAGAGAAACTTAAATAGGAGATGCATCGTGCACAAAGGTGCATACCATGCCTAACTACCATGATGTAAAAAATTCACTTCAGAGTTTCTAAATTTGGTTCCATTCAGCTGTAATTTTCTTATGTCATACAAGAAAAACAATTTCCTGATAAAACGTCTGTTCACATTGTGCTCAAAAGATAGCCGTAAATCTGTGCAATTAGCATGACATGCTTACATATGTTGCCCATTTATCGTTGCACTGACATATGGACTGCTTACCGTAATCTGCTTGAACTTTGGTATGGATGCAAGTGCACCATTGACAGCCTTCGCCAAAAAAATGTCCAATTTAGGGGGGAATTGGCCCTTACCTGGGCAACGAACATGGACTTGATCTCCAGCTTGTCAATGAACACCTTGGCTATGTCCGGGGTGGGGGAGCGGGACGCAATCGCCATGTCGATCCCCTTCTCCCTGAGGGCGAACATGATGCCCTTGGCGTGCCGGTAGAGGCTCGGCGACTCCCTCTTGGAGCGGCACTCGCTGTCGAAACGGGAATCCAACAACAAACAACAACAACAACTTCTGGATTAGAACCTCTCGAGCTTCTCTTCGATCGAAGAACGGAAGAAGGCGAGGAGAGACAGGGAGGAGATGGGGTACCAGTAGAAGGGCCAGAGGGTGTAGTCGAGGTCGAAGACGACGAGGCGCGGGAGCGCCTGGAACAGCCCCAGGATCTGCAGCGCCTCCGCCTTCACGCGCTCGTCCCCCATCTGCGGCGGCGGGCGGCGGCGGAGCAGGCGCTCGCCGGCGGCGTCGCGGCGGCTCGGCTCGTCGCTGCGGCTCGGATGGATGACTGGAGGAGGGCTCGCGAGAGATCGGCTCGTCTGGGTAGTGGGTAGCACCAAAAGATCGAATTTTTTTTATTTTTAATTTTTTTTTATTAAAAGTTTTAAAAAATAATTTTCCATTTTGAAAATTGACAGAAGTAGTCGCCTACCGCCCTTTGGGAGGGCGATTTTTAAAAATCGTCATCCTAGAGGGCGGCGAAAGTGACGTGGCAGACGGCTGTTCGCTCTCGGGCGACAGCCGTCAACGAAATTTGCAGGCGGCCCCCTTGCCGCCCTCCGCTAGGGCGATTTTGTACTGTGCGGGCGGCGAGGGGGCATGGAAATTTGCAGGCGGCCCCCTTGCCGCTCTCCAATAGGGCGATTTTCTACTGTGCGGGGAGCCGCCTGCAAATGGGCGGCGAGGGGGGCCTGGAATTTTGCAGGCGGCCCCTTTGTCGCCCTCGGAGAGGGTGATTTTATACTGTGCTTTATTTGAGAAATATATTTTTTTATAAATATCAATAGTTATCAAATCTTTTTATATTGAAAACTATACAAGATTAAAATCTCCAAGACTGGTAAAATACAATTTTATTATTTTTTAGGGCCTATTTGGAATGTCACCGTACAAATATTTTGTTAGTGCCAAAATATAAGCAAGTTTTGGCACTACCAAATCTTTGGTAAGGTAAAATTGCATTTGATCATATTTGATTTGCTGCCAAAATGTAAAATTGTAGTGAAGAATGTTCTACATAATCTCAAATCTAGATTAGGTATTACCAATGAATAGGCTTCAATCGAATCAAACACAAGTACTATTCAAATTACCAAAATATTGGTAGGGCATGTTTTTAGTAGCAATCCAAATAGGCCCTTAGTCTTACGCATACAAAAATTCACCACCATAATTAAACATTGTAATGATAAGATAGATAAGAAGTGTCATCGATACACGGTACAAATTTGTCGATCCTGACGAATCAAGCATTGGAAGAATCTCCTTCCCCGAGTTTGTATCATGAGGGAAGACTTGAGTATGCATCCATCCCCACAATCACACAAAGGACGGTCACACCATGGTGGAAATCAACCAGCAAAAGGATCGCTTCGCCAGTTGAGACGCTCAAGGAATAGCGCTTCCATTTTCGTTAGTTGTGTGCTAGTGGGAAAGAAGATATGAAGAGGTTGCCTTCAGATTGTCAATTATATAGCGTCGTTTTCAGTGCAATATATGTGAACTCAATGAGATACATTATTCATTAGATGTGACAAGACGAGCACGCGCGGGCGTGATTCACTTTATGTCAGCAGGCAGCGCCGAAAGTTGATAGTGACTACTCGAGCTGCCGCTTTTCATGTGTGCTGTTGCGGACTGTGCGCGCTACTGGATCTGACACTACCGTGAAGCGCCGAAAGTGTGTTGTCGTGAGCATAAGTTGTTCTAGCACCATATGAATGAAAAGAACTATGTAGACGAGATAAACACAAGTAGTACTGCAGTAGTAATAGCAAAAGTAGTACTGCTTTACAAGTTTGTAAGCCAAAAGAAACAGTCACATAAGGACTGAAGAGGTAGAACACTACTGACGAGGCCTCTTACCCCTGTCCCTCCTACCCTGCGCCCTAACGTGCCCCTGGGAGTACGTGAGTCGGTCCGGGGGTATGGCACGGCCAACCCGTCCTGCCTGTACAGGTGTGACCTCTAGCTGCTCCTGAGTGTGCGCCTTTGGAGCTCCTCCAAGCTGAGAGGAGCCTAGTACGTCATGGTGGTGTGCACCGTGCAAGTCGTCATCGTAGAACTGGCTAGTAGGACCAGTCCTACCGGCGTGAGACGAAAAGGCCCTAGTACCGAAGATCCCGGCTGCAAATCCTGCTGGACAAGGACCATCAGTTTCATACAGGTATTTAATAGCATTAATAAAAAGTAAAGTACCGTGTGGGCGAGGGATCGACGCTCCGTGAGAGGAAGAGCTGGCGAACGCGCCCGAAGAGGTGGCGAACGCGCCGGAAGGCCTGCCGCACGCAACCTGTATAGAGCAAACTTTAAACATAAATACAACACAAAGTAAAGTTGAGTTGAAATGTGAACATACGCGTACCAAGGAACGTGATGGGGGTCGACACGCAACCACTCGTGCGACGTGCGTGGACGGAAGGTGCCGAGCTGTGCACCCTCGACTGCTGACAGGAACGAGCGGTGGTTCCTGTCAATCCCACGGTTCAATAGCGCCGGTGTGTCGTACGCCATACCTGCATCAAATAGATTGATCAGAAACATAGAAATAATTAGTTCAACATAAGTAATAAATGTTCATAAGCGAATTACTAACACATATTAAATAAGAGTACAAACAAACAAAAGTGTCACAATACGGAATATTTCTGATTACAACAATAATTGCAGTTACACGATATGAGTACTTAGTCCGAACACTCATCACGATAACATTATGATACAACACCGAATAGTTCGCAATACTACTAGTACAACAATAGTCGGAGGTACTCATTACAACAACATTCAATTGAAATTACACGATAGAAGTATTTAGTCCGAACACTCATCACATCACAATAGCATTTTATTTCCTAAATCGATAGCATTGTTACACCATGGAATCGCCTGCTGCGCGATGACGCCTTGGCCTTGCGCGCCTACTTGTTGTTCCTTCACCAGGTGGTCGCCTACCATCACTTGCCTGTCCAGATGGACTAGCATCTGCGCCGCTTGGAACTTCTGCATTTTTCGGGCATTTCTTGTAAGTATGGCCGCGGAGATCACACTTGCTGCAGCGTAAAGTCCTCCCACCTGCTTCTGACTCATCCATATCATTTCTGATGCGTCTAGTTTGGCGTCGACCCTTTTTCACCCTTAACTTAGATGGATCTGGTATATAAAAAACTTGGGCACTCAGCGTTGTGTAAGATCCTGAGATCCCGAACCCATATATCTCCTCACTCCATGTATGAAAGATTGCTTCTTTCCTGAAATAATTTGAGACGTACACATTGGGAGATATGCCACAATCACTGGTAGTAGCAAGAACATGTGAGCAAGGAAGGTGATGAAGCTTCGGCTTCATACAACTGCAGGTACATCCACCATCCGCCTTCAAGACACATTCCTGCACGGCTTGCTTGCGATAGATACCACGCCTGCTCCTATCAACACACATTATTTCATACCGATGCACTTGTGTGCCTTGAGCAACAACTCTATGTCTCCGTGCCTTTTTGATTTTATCTTCCATGTACTTTGTCACTACGTTGCCAAACACTATGTTGTTATCTGCCATGGATGGACCAATTTTCTTGTATCGATCCTTAAAGTAGGCTTGCGTGCCGTGAAGGATGAATTCAACAATAGCAACCAATGGAAGTACCCGAACTCCTCGCATTACCCAGTTGTACACCTCTGCCAAATTGGTTGTCATTATGCCATACCGAGATCCATCGGTGTCGAACAATAGAGACCACTTCTCCTTAGGCTCATTCTCAATCCACTTAGTGAAATTTCTGATGGACGACCCCGACCTCCTTCTCATTGTTGGTGGGTCATCATGTAATGCACCAAGAGGTATGGGAGGCTCATCTAGTTTGCAGCACACTCTTTGTTCGATCATCAACTGATGTAAATGTATGTAGGTCATAGTAAGTATTATTATTCCTCTGGGCAATGGTGGCTAACAAACTAGGCAAATTATCATAAGAAGCTTCAAATGTGCCATACCTCATCTCAATAATCTTTTGTTTGGCTCTCCAGGCCTTTGCATAGCTTATGGTGTACTTTAATTTGTTCTCGATGTGCCTAATAATTGATTTTGGTTCAAAACCAATGTTACCAACCACACTGTTGTACATCTCACTTGCAACAAAAGCTGAAGTGATGTTTCGGTGATACTTCTCCACCCCTTGTAAGTAGCACTTGTGCTCGGTCACAATGCTAACTTTCCAATAATCATTCCATTTACCCTTATATGCATGGACACGCCACGGACAATCTTCCTTCATGCACCTCACTTCATACACATAATTTGTTGACTTGACCACCCTAAACTCTCTCTGCAAGGAAACTGCCCAATGCTTCACCGCCTCCTTCATCTCATCCTTATGAGCATACCTTGCACCCTCAATTATCTCGTTCTCCTTATACTCTCAGGGTACATGATCACCTTCTGATATAACAAGTCCAGAGAAGTCCTCATTTGCCCAATTAGTGGCCATTACATCACCTTCCTCATCGGATGATGCGTCGTCGTCCGCTTGCTCATTATCCGAATCTTCCCTCTCCATTTCATCAACAATTATACCGACTCTCTCCCCCTCATCCGCCATGCCCATGGCCTTCTCCTCCCTTGGTTGATTTTTCTCATTTTGCATCGATGGTCCAACAACATCCCCTGCATTGCTAGGACCCTCTACATCTTCGGTTTGCATTGAAACATTTATATCTTTCTCTTGTACCGACACAAATATAACGAGGGGCCATGACCGTTCAAAAGCCATTTCCACATACCGTCTCCAAGCAGCAGTGCTGTTCATCGGCATTAGTTCCCAAAAATAACCTTCTGTTGCACGACTCACTACAACTGATACTGACATTGTGTAGACTTCTTGGTCTATTCTAAATCCTCTCAACAACCAACTATAAATTGACTGAAATGTTCTCTCCGCAGGCCTATCGATGCCCTTAGATGTTATTACAAAATATGACAGATCAACACCATCTGAACCAAATCTAATATTTCCTTCACCGTGAACTATCTGAAATGTGACCTTATTTGACATTGTGCCTGATGAAAACAATAACTACGTTAACCTCGCATTTCTGTACTACGCCCTAAGTTACATTCTCTACAATATTGTTCTCCAAAATTCTAAAAGTAGGTTACATTCTCCAGATCAAACTAAACTACATCTTACAATTAACACTACTGTCTATGTCTCAATTCATACTATTATATTCTATGCTCTGGATCTACACATATGTGCTGTGTGCTACAGATCTGCTAAAATATATGGAACTAAAACTACAACGCAACATATATACTCAAACATAACATATTAGTACAAATGCAAAAGATGTATGGGAGCAAACCTGTGATGAAGTGAGCGAACCAGCAGGGCTTCGCCGCTCCCCTTCTGCTGCCCTCCCCTCTCTCCTCGTTTTTTTTTTGATTTTTAGTGAATATAATGAAATTTTAGAGAGGGGGGACTGGGCTTTATAGGGGGGAGGCAAAAATCGCCCTCCCCTAGGGCGGCAAGGGGGCCGCCTGCAAAATTCCATGCCCCCCTCGCCGCCCATTTGCAGGCGGCCCCTCGCACAGTACAAAATCGCCCTGACGGAGAGCGGTAAGGGAGCCGCCTGCAAATTTCGTTGATGGCCGTCGCCCGAGAGCGAACGGCCGTCTGCCACGTCACTTTCGCCACCCTCTGGGATGGCGATTTTTAAAAATCGCCCTCCCAGAGGGCGGTAGGCGACTACTTCCGTCAATTTTCAAAATAGAAAATTATTTTTGTAAAACTTTTAATAAAAAAAATTAAAAATAAAAAAAATTCCCAAAAGATCAACAGGGGAGGGGGGAACGCTACTGGGCCGGGCCGACTCGTCTCCCCCACGGGTTTCTTACTGGGCCGAGCCGAATCTGAGTTAGCTGGGCTCGCGCCGCGGAGGCCCATCTGACCAAGCCCAGCTCGCGTCGTCGTGTTGATGCTGCTGCTGCTGCAAAACCCCTCCTTTTCCTCCTCCTCGCGACGACGCCTCCCTCGTACGCCGGCGCTCTCGCAGTTGCCGCCGCCGCCGCCGCGAACGCCCACCGCCCGCGCTCTGGTCGGTGGATCGTGACGTGCTGTGGTGGTCTCTGATCTGCTCTGGGGGTGGGTGGGCGTCTCGCGGAGTCGCCGTGTTCGTCGAGGGCTCGATCGGCTCGGGGAGAGCGAGTGAGAAGAGGTGAGGGTTGGGGGGAGGCACATCCGCGGCGGCGGAGAGATGGCGGATTTCCGGACCTCCACGCATCGGGAGAGGTGGATCTTCCAGACGAACGATCTGGTGAGGCTTCCTCATCGGTTTGTTTGCCAGGGCTGCTTTCTTTGGGATGTGATATGATATGATATGCCGTGGGTGGGTTGTGATGCTGGTGATTCTCTCTGCTTTGCAGATGGATAGATGGGGGGCGGCGAACCAGCGGGCCACGGAGACGCTCGTTCAGGTTGGGTTATCCCGGCGCTCTGAACCTAACTCCCTTGTTGAGCTTATTAGATGATAGGTGCTCATATCTTTTTTTCCTTTTGTTTCTTGGTGAAGTATGGAACGACGCGGTTGAAGGTGGACCCTGTTGATGGGTCGCTGTCGTACCCGGAACCTGCGCCTGATCATGGTACATTTCATTTAATGATTCTGATTGATTATATGTCTAGATGCGCAATGTGTTACCATCCAAATTAGCATCCTCATGTGAAATTCACTTCAAAGTTTTCTGCTTTAGTAGTTTCTCGCATAATCTACTTTGGACGATATATGCATCGAGTTCTGTGTTTCCATGGGAGTTTGTTCAGTGGACTACTTGCATCTAAGCGTGCTAGTATTGAAGCATTTGTTTTTTATTCAGTTGTAGGGAGCTCAGGTGTAAAGCCTCTGTCTTGTGAAGAGGAGCGATTGATGCGGGTATTTTATGAGCAAAAGATTCAAGAAGTATGTTCAGCATTTAAGTTCCCTCACAAAATCCAGGTAAAGCACTCCTCTTCCGAGACTCTGTGCCTTTGCTATCCTCATGATCCTGCGCTAAAAATCTCTTATTGCTGCACTGTAGGCTACCGCAATAATATATTTCAAGAGATTTTATCTGCAATGGTCTGTAATGGAACATCACCCAAAGCATATTATGTAAGCAACACTTTTATAAGAAATCTTCTATAGATTGGAACGTACAAAAGGAGATAACCTGATGAGTAAATTACCTTTTCTTGTGTCCTACTCGAAGAGATAATGTCCTCTGCAAGTCATGGTCTTTCATGATTCAGTTTGTATTTTTTTTATCAGTTAGATATGAAGTTAATCAGTTTTTTACTTGACAGGTTAACTTGTATTTATTCTTCTTGCAAAGTGGAAGAAAATCATGTTTCTGCTGAGGAACTTGGTAAAGGAATTCAACAGGACCACCAGATTATTCTAAATAACGAGATGATTGTTCTCAAAGTATGCCATTTCCATTTTTTTGTCATTTTACCTCCTCCAAACCAGCAGAACATGACATTACATTTCTTACCTTATTCCAGTCTTTAGATTTTGATCTGATTGTTTATGCTCCGTATCGATCTATCGAAGGATTTGTTGATGACATGGAGGTAAGTTTCATATTTATATGTTTCTGCTAACAATGTTCACCTTGCCATTTCCCTTGTATGGCTAGTGAACTTTGAAATGCAGTACCATATATTTGTCATATATTGCTTATTCTAGTGTAGTGGTTTGGTCTCCATTGACTAATGGGGTTTCTTTTTGTATAAAGGATTTCTGCAGAGCAGGTAATGGTGAGCACCAACGGTTGCAGGTCATCCATTTCTTATACCCTTTTCACCAGAAATATAAATATCGCAGTAACAAAATGTTTGTGCATTTGCTTTTGCCAACATTTCAGATAGCACTGGTGTAGCTAAATCATGTTCATCTGTATGATATTTCCATAATATTTCTGAAAATTCCAGCCGCTTACATCCAGTTAGTATCCATTACTATACGCAATCCTTTGGAATCAGAATCACCATGAACTTTTTTTGTTTGTTTAACCTTGAACTCACAGATGAAGGTAGCTGCACAGGATTGACAATATTTTAGATGCTTAGCTAGTTGTTAATACTAATTTTGCCACGCAACAAGAAGGAAAAGAGCTAATTTTTTGGTAATTTTATTTAGACTTCATTGATGGCTGTCCAACCATTTGATAAAGAGTAATGGTGGATGAATCTAGTTCTGCAAATTCAATTGTATACCAGAAATGCTTTAGTTATGCTGTTTTGCATCAATCTAAGGATGTTGAAAGACAAAGTGTGTAGGTGATATATTTTAGCATGCATTCAATGTTTTGTGCTGAAATTTGCTTCTCACTTTATTTAGACAGCTGACACATGGTTGACTGCCAGATAAGCTTATGTAGGATAAAGTCTTGTTTTTAATTTCTTTCTTTAGCTTGCACAAACGGTAATTATGTGTACTGAATAAGGAACAGTCGTAAGCTCTTATTTGAATACCGTGTTAGATATCATAAATGCTATTTCAGCTTATTCCCTGCATAGAAGGATACACTCGAATTATGACATTATAGAACATGCAAGTTTTATGCTACCTTGCTGATGCTTCAAATGCTTGTAGGATTTACGTCAAACTGCGATATCTCAGGTTGACAAAATGATGTTGACTGACGCTCCTCTTCTCTACACTCCTGGACAGGTAATCATGATCAACATGTTTAATCTTAAACTACATCATTTTCATTTTTAGAAGAGTTAATTGCACAATGGGCCATATATTATTACCAAAGTTTCATTGGGACTACCCTTGAGACTATTTTCACTTTGGGCTAGATAATTTTTCCTTTACATTGCAATTTGGATCATCCCATCTTTCTCTCTGTTATACACCAAAGTCACTGAGTGCCATAGCAACATCCGTGTCATCATCCTCATCCCAGTCTGCGCATGTCAAGCACCTGCACGAGCATCTGCACCAGCCTTGTCCAGCTAGCAGGTTGTCGATGATGGTCACATACGGGGCCTTTCTTCCTGCCACCGCTGGCAGTTGTGTCATTGAACCCTACGCTTGCCGAAGATGCTCTCTTGGCAGCACAATAACATTTGCATCCTCCAGCGCTGGCTGGGGGACCAGGACCACAGCCATCCTGTAGCAATGGCGGGAACACCGCTCACAAGATTTGCCATATTAACCCATGAAAAGAACGAGGAGACCATGCATGGGAAGATGTAACGCTTCCTCGTCCATCGATCGTGGTGGCATACCAAGCTTTGGCACCCAGATATAACGCTAAAGTCAAATTGGAGCTCGGGCGCAGTGCTCCTGGAGGTGGAGCAACAGCTCGAGTATTGTTCTGCAAGGCGCTGATGCAGGGCAGACCAGGCGGCAGCTTCTTCCCAATGAGAAGGAATAGATGGTGGAGAGCAGGTCTAATGTGAAACTTTTGCAACTTCACATAGCCTAAAGTGAAAAGATGTGCTCATGCCTAGTCCAACATGCAACATTGGTAAAAATAAATGACCTGAAGTGCAATTTACTCTTCTTTAAAATTATTAGTTTACCTAGTGTCTGATAAGAAAGCTTAGTCCAATGTGGTTAGCTTATGAGCCTTCAAGTTTGACCAAACTTTTTATGTTATCTGATTAGGCATTATATTCCAATTTTTACAGTTGGCTCTGGCTGCTTTGCACAAATCCAATGATATGCACAAGATCCTTAATTTTGAAAGGTATTCTTGCGTGATTCTTTTTCCTTTTCCATTTCTTTACTCAATTTTAACGTTTTTAACTTCACGATTGTTCACAGGTACTTGGAAAGTGTTTTTTCAAGGCAACATTCTGATTGTCCAATCGAACAATTTGTTGGGTCAATCAATATGATCAATTATTTGGTAAGAACTTTTTCCCCTTGGTTAAATACATCAGTATAGTCATGTAAACTCTGTTGCTTGACTGAACACAAGTAGATACTCAGAAGGGTTTTGCTACGAAATTGAATGGTTAAATTATGGTTTTGCTGATGTATAAAACCCTGTCAAAGTATGGTCATATCATTGCTGGCAAAGGATAGGGCTTTCATATGGCCAATGTTTTATACTGATGTGGCCACTGTTATGCTCTATTCAATAGTTATTATTGTACCTTTGGGTTTTTGACATTCCGTTTATGTTATTTTCATATTTTTTGCAGGTTGAGCAGCTTAAAATACCTACTCCTAAGGACATGAGGCATATTGACCGCAAGCTTAAGCATTGTTTGGATCCAAGCTCACAGGATGAGTAAGCTTTATATCATTTATAAAAAGCCAGCATTTCATCCATGATTATCAGTAATTGTACTCATTTTTGTTATTGCTATATACCTGTAGGCATAAGAAGAAAGAGAAGAAGTCGAAGCACAAATCAAAAAGGGCAGCTAATGAAGCCCAACTGTAAGTCCTGTCACTACCAACTCAGATTGTACCCATGCTATTTCTAGTTCTTGTTTCTGAATTGCTTCTCTACAGTGACAGCTAGAAAACATACGGTTGGGCTGCACCGTGTAAGAATCAGTTCTTTAGTTTGTTGTGGTAAGGGCTTCAAACTTTGTTATTATGTATGTTGTTAATTTCATCACCAGGTTAAACCTAATGTGCGAAATATCTTTCTTTACTCAGGCTCCAATTGATCAAAAGAGCTACTTTCCTGAGCAGGTGAGGTTCCGTTTTAGCCGAGGACAACCAATTTTGAGATGAAGCGAGATAATACCCATGACCTCGCCTTCTTGTAATCTTGTGTGCCTGGAAGCCCTAGCAAACTCCTCGTTGCAATGGCTACTGTACTTTTTTTGGGGGGTAATTTATCCCTTGTCAAATGGGAAGAAGCAGCATACATCGGATGATTGCCTCCATATACGAAAATGACAGCTAACTCAGACTTTTTTCGGTTGCATTTTTCTGTTTACAATTCTCACTATTATTAACGTATCTGATTGACTTGCTACAAAGGGCCTAGGTTCCAAATTGACAATTTTGCAAGTTTTCAGCCATAGCAGAGGGTTTACAGCTCCAAGCTATAAAGGTTGAAGAAAAGGTAAATTAATTCAACAGAGAACATCAGCTGACGAGCACGATTGTACAGCTCATCCTATGTCTGCAATTTTTGCTCTCATCGGTTACTAAACCGAGTATGAGAGCATTTGTCATTTGTTTTGTTCCATGTGTTTACAGTTGACACAAATAGAAGTCGTCCTTGCTCAGACAAGGTTGTACGTAAGTGCAATATAATATAAAGTACTCCATCCGTCTCAAAATAAATGTAGCCATGAGTTTCTTTGTCTAATTTTAACTTTAATCGTTCGTCTTATTTGAAATTGTTTTTTAAAAAATAAAAAAAAACATAAGTCACGTGTAAAGTACAATTCATGTTTTATAATCTAATAACATTAAAAATACTAATTGTAAAAAAATTAAAATAAGATGGACGATTAAAATTGGACACGAAAACTCGTTTATTTTGGGACGGAGGGAGTGGAAGTGTATGCGGGTGACACGCGGTGCACATGTTAGATGTTATTTGATTGAATTTTTTTTAAGAGCCAAAATAGTTTTTCAGGTTGTTGGTACGGAGAGCATACATGTCCTTCAAAAGTTTAAAAATGAAGAAGTTTACGCGCTATGATCAAGATGAAACACAGAAAACATCACTTCCAACAACATCCTGAAAATTTGCTTAGGGTGTGTTTAGTTCAAGCCAAAATTAGAAGTTTGGTTGAAATTGAAACGATGTGATGGAAAAGTTGAAAGTTTATGTATGTAAAAAAGTTTTAATGTGATGAAAAAAGTTGAAAGTTTGAAGAAAAAATTTAGAACTAAACTCGGCCTTAGTAGATAAAACACATGTTCACTTCCCACATCCTGAATTTGCTTAGCGGATAGAACACATGTTCCAGACTGACCAGACAAATATGCACTCCCTACCAAGGGCCCAAGTGTCTATAGGGAGTAACATGTATATATATTTTTAATAATAGAAATAGATTACATATCCGGCTTCTGTCATAAGACATGCAGCAATAAGTTTATTAAAAAAGTAAAGATAAAAACAAATCAAAATACTTCCTCCGTTTCACAATGTAAGTCATTCTAGCATCTTTCACATTCATATTGATGTTAATAAATCTAAATATGCTAGAATGACTTACATTGTGAAACGGAGGGAGTAAGAAATAAGGTGATGTGGTAAATCCTCAAGTCCCCTTTGTTATTGATTAGCGTTAAATCACATATACTTTTTTATCTAGCAATTCTAATGGAACTACGCCACCCATAGTAGTAAAATAAGAGACCATAAGCTACCGATTACAAGAGTGTAGCATTTAGTATCATATTTCTCCTACGGTAGCATCATAGACCAAAAATAGAGCCAATAAAAAGATAGGAAGATAACCTATATAGGGTTAGATAATTGTTTACCATTAAAAGCTTTATCACTACGGCAACGTCATATTGACCAACCTACAACACTAGCTCCAATTAGAATCAACTTTTTTATGAACATAGATACCCCTCTAAGCCAATTACCAAAAATATTTTTGGTATTATGGGGTGGAGGATATTAAAAACAAAAAACACGTATCTCCAAACAATTTGAGCAATATGACACTCAAATAAAAGATGTTGGATTGTCTCTTGCGCATAGCAGAAAGAACAATGTTTGTCTCCCCCCTCCTTTTCTTTTAGCAAGGTTATTTTTCATTATAATTGCTTTCTTGTGAAGAAACCACATAAAGACCTTGATTTTTAGTAGGACCTTTAAGTCCATAGAATTCTCTTTTGGATTCTAGAAGAGTTCATGATCACGGTATATATAGAGTTGATTGAAAATTGTCCATTCTTATGGAGTGACCGTACAAAGCAGTTTTTCACTTACAGAGTTATATTAGCTAGCCTGAGAATCAAATCATTACACTCGATTAGATTTTGGCCAACATTGGCTCTCCTAAAAAAGATATTTAACAACGTTGTGCTTATAACCTCTGCTAAACTGCTTCTTTCAAACCACATTATATAAAGTAGGGTATTGATCTTTGAGAGCATGCGATCCCAACCACGTGTCTTCCCAAAATCTTATGTCTATCACATTGTCACATCTAAAAAGTTCGAACCTAAGAAACTGACCTTTCATTTTCACTGAACTGGCCCATAACTACAAAATACCTATCTAGTTGGACATGCAAGAGAGGTTTACCCTTTAAGTATTTATTTCGCAAAAGGTCTTGCCATACGTCTTCAACGCTAAGCTACTGGAAAAGCCATTTGCTTAACAAGCAGCTATTTTTGATATCAAAGTTATGGACACCTAGTCCACCTTGATCTTTTGGTCGACATATGTTTCCTCACTTAGTTAGTCTATATTTTCTTTTCCGGTCATCATTACTAAAAAAAAAATATGACCTAAAGTAATCCAATCTTTGAAGCACACCGTGAAGTGAGCATAGCTCAACCGGTTAGATTCCTTGTAGTGGAACTAGCCCATCCGGATTCAAATTCTAGATTTGACACGAGTGCTCACATTTACGGCTAATTATTCTTTCAGTGCTAGGCGATGTACCCGTTGACAGCGATGTGCCCCGTGGGGCTAATTGTTCTTTCAGTGGTAGGCGACGTACCCGCCGACACGCTTGAAAGAACTAAATTTAGAATGACCAATCTCCCACCGTATGACATGTTTTTATCTTCTTTCAGTGGTAGGCGACGTACCCGTCGACATGCTTGAAAGAAGTAAATTTAGAATGACCAATATCCCAATGTATGACATGTTTTTGTCCTTCCATGTGCTGATTTTCCTCTCAAATCTATCTTTAACACCTTTCCAATCAACATTCCGAAGTTTCCGATAATGAATGGAAAGTAACATGCATATATGTCAACATTCCGGAGTTTTTGATAATGAATGAAAAGTAACATGCATATATGTCAGGGAATAAAGTCAAATGGAGATCAATCTAAGAACTCAACCCATGAACTTTAGCTCACATTCCACCTAAGATTTATCCCTCTGATTTAGAGATATTCAGTTTTTAGTAGGCTCACGGTTGGATCTGGAAGCAGATCAACCGGGTAGCCTTATGCGGAAGTGGCCTGGGCGTACGAGGGCCAAAACTGCAAAGGATAATTTTGTATGTCCTCAGCCAGACTAGGGAGTTTACAGCTCCAAGCTATGAAGGTTGAAGAGAAGGTTAATCACACAGATGCTTCAAAGCTCGAGTAGAGCACGAGGGCCAAAACTGCAAAGGATAATTTTGTATCTGTCCTCAGCCAGAGTAGGGAGTTTACAGCTCCAAGCTATGAAGGTTGAAGATTAGGTTAATCACACAGATGCTTCAAAGCTCGAGTAGAGCACATAATTCAACAGAGAGCATCAGCTGATCTTATACGGAGTATATCCAATTCTGCACTCAGCGATTCCCATGATAACCTGAGTATGAGGGCATCCTAGTGTATATTTTTTACCATTTTGTTGGGTCATGTGTTTACACAGATTATAGATCTCAGTGTGGAAACTTGGATGTCAAGTTTCACATTATTTCAAGGTCAAATTCAGCTTGGCAGCGAAGTCAGTTCATTTATGGAACAAACATCACCGTTGTCAGTTGCCGGACTATTAGCTTGCTTCTGCTCACACACCAGCATAGCCGCTTCTTGGAGTGATTTATGCAACTCATCGTGCATACTTGATCTCTGGAAGGTAAACGTGTTGCCGTTTATATGTGTACAAGGTCGTTTTACTGCCTTCTCAAGTATTTGTTTAACAGCCTGCATCCAATTAAAATGACAGAAAGATCATAAGAATCGAGTACAGCAGATAACTCTTACAGGGTTTAATGTCATAGTATGAACTTTACCATCAACTGGGCACTTAAATGCTAAATGCATTAATCTGAATCACCATTTATGATTTTTTATCAAATAAGAAGACCTAACAATGCATAAATGTGAGCATAGCCAATGGTACATACTAGCAACTAGGTACATCATTTTGGGTGATCAATCATTACATAAATATTTGTGAAGCTTTGACTGATACCAGATGGACAAATTCTTTACCCTGGCAACAGATGTAAACACAGCTATGCCAGGCATCCAATAGACTATTAATGAGAATGGAACCAACGGTCCTAGACTAAAGGATATGCAGTACTATCAAGGCAAATAAGAATATGTTCTTTTAGCCAGCTATGTCATCCTAAATCCCCAGCCGCACAAATCGAACAGAAAGTACATATCAGAGCGATGTCAATCTCTTGCCACCAAATCTGGTAGTGCAGACAAACCATAAGCATCACTTTGTGAAGGGAGTGAATCTCTGCATTAGACGAATCCTATCTTACTATAAAGTTATAACCCACTAAATCCAAAAGCTTAACATGCAAAAATACCACATCATCATCCACTAATAATTATTATATTTAAACTTCATGCAAGCATGTTATATTATCTATAATTTTATAATTTATTAAATTTTAGAGCTTTTAGAATGCAAGCATATTAATTCATCATATCACATAATTCACATAATATTTCAATATATATCAAGTCACATCATCTTACTTTTACATTTAAAGCATCATTCTATAGACTATTTAAATTTAAATTATCATAAATCACATCAACTTACGTAAGTTTATATTGTCTAACTAAATTCCAGCAGCAACGCGCGGGGTTTCATCTAGTGACCACTAATTCTACTTCCCATTTATTTCTTGTGACAGAGAAATCATTCTCTAATAATCCTACAACCTTTTATTTGACCCCTAATGCAGTCTCTTCTATTTCTGTGTCTGTTTGCAGTTCTGACTCTAGATTTACAAATGAGACTTTAGTTAGTTCTTCCTACAGTATGGTAACAATTATCCTCAAGTGCTGACAATCTTACAATTTTTCTCAGAATTCCAAAATTTATCATTTGAAGTTTGAGCCCAGATCTCATATACCATGCATGTTGCTATATACTGGTTCAGTGAAAACCTGAAACGCATTGAAATGCAGTTGATGGAAATTTCTGCATCAATTCCAGAGAATTTGAACTTGCTAGGCCATCATTTCAGCTCTCACACATGAATGATGCAATTAGTAAATCGACAAGAGCTACCTGAAGTTCTGAACCAGTAAGATAATTATATATGAACTGAATTCAATAATCTCAAGTTTCATGGGTGCGAACCTGCAGCATCTTTGGATCGAAGGTTGGTACTCCAACCTGCGAAACAGCAGCCGCGCCGAAGAAGTTGCCCAGCAGCGCGGCGTCCGTAGCCGACAGCCCCCAAAGCAACCCGGACGCGAAGCCGGCGAGGAAGCTGTCGCCGGCGCCGGTGGGATCGACCTGCACAGCGGGGAACGGCGCTACGCGCGCCTCTCCACCGTCCCAGTAGAGCCGACACCCGTCCCTCCCCTCCGTCACTATCACGCAGCACCGCCGCCTCGCCGTCTCCACCCCGACGTACGGCGCCTCCTCCGAGGACGCCTTGAGGAACGCCACCCGCGGGAGGAGCCGCGCGTACGGCGTGGCCTCCAGCGCCACGTGGCGGACGGCGCCGCCGCCCTTGGCCTCGCCGTCGAAGGCCCGGATCAGCGCCTGCGCGTCCACGAGCACCGCGCGGCAGAGCCTGATCATCCGCTCGAGCGTCTCGGGGAGCACCTCCCCGGCGACGCCGACGGCGAGGCCGTAGGCGAAGCGGCGGTCGGGGAGGTCGGCGGGGTAGATCGGGTCGCAGGCATGGACTCGCCGGAGCTGCCGGTCGGGCGCGTGCGCCGAGGCCGCGTCGTCGGAGAAGCGCGCGTGGAAGGACGTCGTGGGGGAGGCGCAGAGCACGGGCGGGTGCCGCGCGGGCGCCGCCGCGGTGGCGTAGGCGAAGTCGTGCCCCACCTTCGACACCACCGCCAGCGACGCCCCCGCGGGCGACGCGGCGTCGAGCACGTTGGACACGAACGCCGCCGCACCCCCCAGCGTCTCCCCCACCACCCGCCCGCCCCGCAGCAGCACGTCGTGGCAGTAGCTCCCCACCACGAGCCCCTCGACCTCATCAAGCCCCGCAACACCTCCTCCCCCCTTCACCCCCCGCTCCTCCTCCTCCTCCACCTCAACCACCACTTCATCGGGCTCGGCCGCGAGTGGCATCGCGGCGGCGGGAGAGGGCGCCATGGATGGAGGAGAAGGGGGAGAAGAAGAAGTAGTAGGCGTGGGGGAGTCGGGGTCGCGGGAGAAGAGGAGGAGGAGGAGGAGGAGGAGGAGAGGAGAGGCGCGACGGCATCGCGTGGAATGGAGGTGGAGGTGGGGGAATAAAAGCGGCGGTTGAGTTGAGGGAGGCGACAAGGGGGGCTTTACAGATGCCGCGGCGGAGGGGCACGTGGTGGCGGCGCGCGTGTGAGGGGGAGCGGCGGTGGAGGCTGACGCCGGCGGGTGCGTGGAAGCTTGTGGGATTTCAATCCGGGGCGTTGGGTCGGCGTGCCGACTGCCGAGGCCCGAGGTCACCAACCTTGCGCGGCTGAGTTGTCCGCTCGTCTCGTCTACTGCTCCTAGTTGGCAGCTACTGAGATTTTGCTCTCTCATTTGCAAGTCTTCAAACTTGTAACTTTTCGTAACATCAAAACTTTTTTACACATATAAATTTAAAACTTTTTTCTCACATCATTTCAATTTCAACCAAACTTCGAATTTTGGTGTGAACTAAACACACCCTACAACTGATGAAAGGTTAAAATATGAAAAGTTCACTCTAATTACTTCTTCCTTCTTGTTCCGAGAAATTCCTATATCTTAAGGAGGACGAATCCTTGATAAGAAAGGAGTGGTGGACTTGCCATACGGGGTTGAAGGGATCGATCACCAACATAATGCAATGGTCTATAATTTTTATTAAGTATCCTGCCCGTTGTTTGTTTGAAGAGATAGAGCTAGCTTAGCTCCCTCACTATCACTTTACAATACATTGACACTGAGTTTTTTTATTTTCACAACAATCTGGATGTTGATTTTATAGTACCGTCGTTTCCAATATTAATAAATTTTGGCATACGCTTTCACCAACCTGGTAAAAAAAGTTCGGAGAATGCTTCTCAACAGACATCCGACGTTCGGTTAAAAAAAAATCAGTTAAAAAAAAACAGACATCCGACGCGGGACGATTCGTTGAACGCTACCACACCCTCATGCTTTTCGCTATTATCTTTTTTCTACCGCCCAAGTTAGTCTATTGCTCTAAGCCTAAGTGAGATGTTTTTTCAGTCTCGTCTCTCACTTACTCTCTTTCTCTCTCTCTTTTCATCCTCTCTCATGTATGCATTCATGGCTTCATTAACCAACTTCGATTTATGATATGATGACCCTATTTTATTGTAATTATACAATAAGATATCACTTGGTTATACTTTGATAAAATAAATATACGTATTTCAAACGTTAAAATCAAATATTTTATAAAAATGTTTCAACAAGTGATTTAGTGTGTTTCATAAGTTATTTAACTATTTCAAAACATCATGCACAACTTAATGTTTCATTAGTAGCCATATGAAACATCTGATTGCCTCCTTTTGTTTTTTTTTTTCATTAGATCTTCAGTAGGTATTTTGACGTTTCATTAGTTTATTTGTAAACGTTGCTCATAGTGCTCTTTTAATGTTTAATCAGTCATTTTTGTGATGTTTTTACAGTTTCATATATCATATAACAACTAACACATCCAATCAATTACCATTTTTCTAATCTATCATGACAAAACATACTTTAATAAGCTATGTGATTTAGGAGTAGCCTTTTTCCTCACCAATAAAAAATGTTCAGTAAAATACATGCCAAAATTCAAAAGTCCCTCAAAAGAAGAAAAGCGTTTGAAATTCGCTCAATTCGTGTGAATTCCGAATACCACAGTGCTAGGCACGTAAAATTGCTCGCAACAAACGAATTTCCCAGAAAACCCCCTCGTCTTTCTCCGCTCCGATCCCCCGGCGTCCAACCTCCTCCTCCTCTCCAAACCCCGGCGCGCGCAACAAAGCTCCGGGCATGGCGACCGCCGGGGGCGCCGCCGCCGCCGCCGCGCCGCAGGCAATGGACGAGAAGGCCCGGCGCACGCGCGACCTCCTCGCGAGCTTCTACAACACCGACCCGTCCGCCGCTGCGGCCGCGGCCGCGGCGTCCTCCGCGGCGCGGCCATCCCCTACCGCGGCCTCCGCGTCGCCGCTCGACACCATCAACTCGGCCTCCTTCGATCCCGACGTCTACATGAACGTCCTGGTTCGTGCGTATGATCCCCTCTCTTCCCCCCTGGTCTTCAGATCCAGCTCCCTGCGTCCCCCTCGGATCTTATGGTTGGGCGCATTTTGGATAGGCTCTGAACGCGTGCGATGAACTGTAACCTGTAATGAGATTTAGCTATCATCAATGCTCTGGTTGGAATTAAGCTGATCAATGCGTATTGGCGTATTGCAGTTTTGACTGAAGAGTTCAACTGAGCCCAAAGAGCGGTCTCTGCTAATATATGTATGGTTGCAGTATTAGATTTGGTTTTTGTAAACATAATATGGAAGCTCATTGTCAAGTTTGGAATCTTGTTACATGGAGAGTGTTCAACACAAATATCAAATTTACGGTCATGTTGCCTATGCATTTTCTGTTCTTCTGTGTATCTTTCGTACATCCTGATCATCAGAGCTTCACTATGATCTACCAATGAATTTTATTCTTACTGGTGAAAAACACGTAATTCCATATAACTGCTGTATCCATTATTTTTTTTCCAGTTGAACTGGTTGAGTTACTCACACTACTCCAAGTAGTATTGCATTTTCCCTTTCTTTCTTTCTTTTCTTTAAAGGGTTTTATAGGAAAACTGAAATGGTTTTGAGTGTTTTTCTAGATAATCTAGTGGTATCCCTAATGGTTATTGAAAAAGTAGCATAGTGGGACACATGAATCAGAGTTTAGCTTGTCAATTTGGATATTGGAGAGATGAATGCTTACTTCTGTTTTGTGTTTTTTTAGGTGCAACAATCAAATCTGGAAGCTCTTTTACAGAGGCATGTGAAGATGGCCGCTGAGATCAAGAATCTGGATACAGACTTACAAATGCTAGTATATGAGAATTATAACAAGTTTATCAGCGCAACTGACACTATAAAAAGGTGTGCTGTTTCCTTAGACCTTCATATCCCATATTACTCTTTTCATCTGCTAATAAGTTTGAGGCAGGTGTTTACTGTAGTTGAAATGTTTGTGTTTTTTCTGCAGGATGAAGACTAACATTGTTGGCATGGAAGCAAACATGGAGCAGCTCCTTTCAAAGGTGTGTACTATCTCGTTGCTAATGTATTGCCAGTTCATTTTGATAAAACTGAGATAATCGGTGTTTTCCTTTTTTTTTCCAGATAACATCAGTGCAATCAAGAAGTGACACAGTGAATACATCTCTTTTTGACAAGAGGGAAAACATAGAGAAACTACATCGTACACGCAATCTCCTCCGAAAAGTTCAAGTAAGCATTGTTCTGTCTGTGTTATTCTCCCCCAAAACTACTTTTTTTATATGATCCTGTTTGTAGTGTAGTACTGTTATCATCAAGAACTAATGATTTACACAGACAAATTGTGTTATGTGGATTTTGGCAATATCAATTTATTAGTTAAACCTTAGTAGTACTCCGTATACTATTGCTGTACAATAATGATCCCAGTGGATTTTATCGGAAGCCCAAGTGATTTTATGTGTTTGGCTTAGTTCAATGCTTGGAGTTGAATTTGACAATGAATCAATAACGGCACACAAATCCGACCTAAACTTTGAGTTTCATCTTTCCATGAAGCGAGGGCATAAGTGCAACTGAGTTGCTCCACATGTGTAGTCTATGCTGCTTGGTAGTTGGCTGTAACCTATTGTGTCCACTAGGCCATATAGCATTACATTAATTGTGTATTATCAATGTGGATTGCATTTCTCCCACTCTTTCATCCTAAAAGGACCATTCACAAGCTACTTGAAATCACTTTGTCATACATGAAATACACAAAAACCATATTATGCTTGACTAACATGAGCTCTATGTCTTGATTACTTGCTGCAAGACATTCATGAAGAAAATTCTAGGCCAAACTGACTTGATAAATCCTGAAATGTTTGTTTCTATCAAATTTTGTTGCAGTTCATATATGACCTGCCGACTCGGCTTAACAAATGCATCAAGACAGAAGCATATGCGGATGCTGTCAGATTTTTTACTGGAGCAAAACCTATTTTCGAGGTTGAGTTTGACTTTTATTTCCTCTAGTCAGAAACTTCCTTGAACACATCTTTATCACTATTTTTTAGCTTATCTTTCTTCCTGATGATAGGCTTATGGCGACACTTCCTTTCATGACTGTAAAAAAGCATCTGAGGAGGCAATCGATTTAGTTACACAGCACTTGAAGGTAATTGTTTTGCATTTTGACTCAGAATTAGTTGTTCTTCAAATGATAATTTCCTTACCACGTAAATGTATGCTTCACTCATTTCCCTGTAACATTGCAGACAAAATTATATTCAGATTCTGAACCTATTGAATCAAGAGCAGAAGCTGTGGTGCTTCTTAAACAGCTCAACTTTCCGGTAATTATTCCATCTATCTCTTAGTCTTCATGATTTTCTTTGTTCTGTTTAGCTCTACTATCCCATGCAATGTTAGTTATAACTAGCTAAATGCCTGCGTCTTTTCTACTGATAATCTCATGCTGTCATTATTTGAACAAATGAGCGTGATTTTTTTTTTCTCAAGGGTCCGTCAATTTTTTGTTAAATGGAGCACTTATAGATTTACATAATTCCACCTGTAAAAGTTATCTTCTATACTGCATATGCAGGTCATCTTAGATTTCTCAGTTTTAAGTTTTTATTTTAGAGAGTAAACAAGAAAGTAACAACATGTGATAATATTAATGTGTAATATCAAAGACCTCCAAGTACTCCTAGCAAAAAATATAGTGCATAGTTGGTGGGGTGAAAGATCACTGCCATTACCGCTATTGCATTCTTTTAAAAGGAGTATAAACAAGCGCTACCACAAGATAATGCTGGAATGATCAACGATTCAACTTGTTCTTAATATCCATGCTAGTGGTACTCTTAATGGGATGTCTACATTTCAACATCTCTTAGCTTAAAAAACTTCCAAAACTTATCCTCCTGATACATCTTCTCATTCTCCAACCTTCTAACTTGTAGAACTAGTGGAACACCTGAACTCCTTTCTTCATATAAAGTTTTTTTCTTCTATTGTGATGCCTATTTTAACTTTTGTGCATGGGCACAGATCTTCTATTCTCTACACAATAGAACTACCATACGCTGATAATCTATAGTGGTTAATTCTGAGTTTTTGTTATATCTATTTTATTTGGTACATGTGTGAATATGACCTGTTAGTCAGATATCAATCAATGAAAATGACCATCACCCATAACAATTCTTATGCAAACGCCGTTACTTATTTTCCACTATAGCATTAAACTTCATATTTATTAACTGTGGTACTTATACAGCAATAGCACTCTCAGCTGCTCCGTATCATTTTCTTGACTCATAGATCTTCCGCAATAACACTGTCAGCTGGTCACAAGACTCTGCATTGATATGTTGAACCTCTGTTTATCGTTTTTATAATGAACTATGAGGCGATGCCCGAAAACAGGAAATAATCATGACTTTCTGTGAAGCAGGCAAGCAATAAACACAAATAACTAGTACATTGCTATGCTGTCCTGATGAAATAGCTAATAGATTTACTCTATTTGCATATAGTTCCCTATGTTTTTCTGTAAATCTTATCATGTTTAATTTTTAAATCAACAGGTGGACAGCCTGAAATCAAACCTACTTGAGAAGTTAGAAGATTGCCTCTTAAATTTCCAGAAGGAGCCCACACAGGTATATATATATATATATAAGAAATGTTAGAACTACTCAACAACTTCCATTTTATTTTTGACGAAAAATCTATAAAGTGTGACCTATTCGCAGGACTCAATTTACAATCCTTTTGCCAACCTCCTTACCAATAAATTATCTAATACCCTCCTGTATAACTTTCTCAGGCTTCAATTGGTGATATTTCAAAGACATTCCGTGCTTATCTCATAATATTTCCTGATTCAGAAAAGCGCCTCATTGAACTTGCACAGGCTTTGTTCTCAAAGTAAGTTGATTTTATATCTTATGCAAACAAACCATCATCCGTTTTTGAACAATGAATAACCAAGTCCTATCCGAATTCGTTGTTGTTTTAGGATTAGCTCCCACAATACCACTACCACGTAAAATTACATGATAGTTCTGCCCTCATTAATAAATGGTCATATCTCCACATGGTATTAAGAACAACCAGTAACTGAGGTAGTTGATATGAATGAAATCTTTTTGGAAGAAACCAGCTAGAAATGTCACATAACAAGTGTTTCTGCAGTGATTCTTGTTTTCTAGAAGGGAAAACAATCTTAAAGTTAGTAGTAAGTGGTGTCCCCTCTGGAGACTGGATATGAATACATGCACTTTTGGACTTAAATGCAGTCAAATTTAGAGAATCAACACTTGTATTTAGATTGGAAATATGAAAAACCATGTGTAGGCTTGCCTAAAAGTATACTTTAATACTATCATAATTTTGTCAGGTTTTATAAATATAGCAAAAGAAAACAGTGGTTAAAGTTGCAATGTGGGTTCCCTTTCAGTACTTGTTACCAGAGATAGTAATAACTCATAGTACATTATACCTCGATACCTTCAGCATGTTTATCCTGTTTGCTTCCTGTTTTAACTTGCATTTCTACTACGAGAATTTTATCATATATATACATTGTCTTACATTTTTTCTTATTTTACATGAAGCCGGTATGAAACGGTCAGAGAGAATCTGAGGAAAAGAATTCCATCAACATATCTATTGGCTATGTTACGTAAGAACTTACCTATGTTACTGTGCCATCTCTATTTTGTACTGAATATATGTAGACTGAACAATAAGTTGAGGATTAAGACTTGTTAAGTTTTTGAATAAATGGACTGTTGGGTTTTGAATTATTGAATTAGTATATTACATAAAAATTTGTTGTTTACCTATGGAGTCCTCACTGTCGATATTACTGCAAGTTGTAAGATCGTTGCATGTCCTTTGATTTAAGTCTGCTCCTTTTTTATGATCTCAGGATCCTTATGGGAGGACGCCACTGCCATTGATGAAGTTATACCTGAGGCTGCATTACCAGCTTTTTCTCTGGAGGTTTGACCTTGACCCTGTAACAACCTATTCATGGTTCTAAACCGGCTGATGTGTTGCTAGCTGCTAACACTTAACCACAAAGGTCATATTGTGTAGCCATTTGGTAGAAGTGTAGAACATCTAGCAGATAGAAGTGAACTGGTTGCATGGCTAAGTTTGGCTTTGGTGAATGGATGCATTTCTTAGTTGATATCCATAATTACCCACATTGTTTTTGCAATCGTCAGTGTTGAGGATTGAGGATTATTCTGTCACGGGTTTGCTAGAGGAGTATGATAATCTTATCCTGAAAGCTCTATTTTACGAATTTACAAATCAACAAAAAGCTGTTTGGCAATATATGTCTAGCTGAGGGTATTTTGTTAGTAGTAGAAAGTAATAGTTGTACTGTTAGTTTATTGACCCCTGTTTTCCATTACTCAAGTGATAAACTGAATATACTTCTGTAACCCAATTGCTTATTTTGGGTATTCTCCATGTCAACAGAACTGTTTATATATCTTGATAGTTGACATTGATTTCACATGTGCCAATGCCTTTTCTGTGCCAGACTACTCGGGATATTATTAGACAACATATCGCAACTGCCTTTCTTCATCTTCAAAGTGAAATATCAGGTTGCCCTCCTCCCACCGCAATTTGTTTTAGTTTTGCAAGTTTCGTGCAGAACTAATTGATATGATTTAAATTTGTTTTTTTCCTGCAACTACTTAGTTTTTTTGGGCTTTTAGCTTGTAGTACAGATAGGTTTGAAAACAATAAAGTATTTCCAAGGAAAAAAACTAATTTGTCTGGTGTATGTGTGAGCAGATGTACTCGCCAGAACACCCTCGACATCAAATGGGAAGTTAGAAGAGTCACAGCTGCAAACTGCCATGGAAACAAGCAAGGTTAAAGTATTGCAAGGATGTATAGATCTCCTGCAGGTATATATTGTGGATAATCTGCGGCATAATATTGTCCAAATAACATGCAGTTCTTTTACAAACTACTAGTAAGCCTATGCTTGCATAAGAGCATATATTCCAATGTTCTCATTTTTTTTTTACTATGTTGTTTCTAGGAATTTCATCATCTTATAGATGGCAATACAGAGTTACTTGTAAAACTGAGAGATTTGGTTATTGATTGGGTACAAGAAGGTTTTCAAGATTTCTTTCAGAAACTTGATGGGCATTTTCATATGCTTTCTGGGAGAAGCAAGAGTCCATCTCAAGAGATGGAATCGGTGCAAATTGATAAGGTTCCAACGGCTTTGGTGCTTATGCTTGCACAACTTTGTGTTTTCATAGAACAAACAGCAATTCCCAAAGTCACAGAGGTATATTGCTAGTTTCACTTTCTAGCTATCATTTTTAGTAGTTTGTTTAGTTTGGGTAGATATGTGATGGACTGATCTTTTGTATCACCAATTTTAGGAGTTGGCTTCTTCTTTTTCTGGAGGTGGTGCACGTAGCTATGAATATGGGCCACCTTTTGTGCCTGGAGAGATATGCCGGCTTTATCGTTCATCTGGGGAGAAGTTCTTACATCATGTAGGCAAACTTGTCTTTCATTCTTCCATTTCATTATTATATTTTTTATGGTCCGTGTCATATGATGTGATTTTTCTCTACTATTCAGCAGGCTAGGGTGGAACTTTTTTTTCTTTTTCTTTTTTTTTTTGCGTGGAACTATATTGTTTTACTCCATTCCTCAAATTCTGTTGAACTGTTTGAAAAATTATGTCATGAGCACTATGTGCCTAAGGGGCTTAGAGTAGCTGATGCCAGTGGGTATGAATTATGATTGAGCCAATCCATCAACCCATCCTACCTTTTGCTTTACCATTAATGCATGATTCATGTGCACAAAGTGAATCCAATTTAATAGGAATGAACAGCCAATGAATTGGAATAGGTCAATGGATTGGTGGCCCACTTGCATTCTGAGTAGCCTTATGTCATGAAAAAAGAGTGCACCTTAATGCTATAACTTGATCTAGAATCATGCTTTCAAAAGCAGTACAATGTTGCCAAGTGGTAGTTTAATATGGGGTCGTATGGTAGCAATCCCATGTCATGAGAATATATCTAATATCACTGTTTATTTTCTTATATCTGTTAAGTACAATTTGTCTTGAGTTCGCTACGCGACATATAACCAAACATTGACTTCCTTGGGCAGTACATAAATATGAAGACACAGAAGATCTCCAAACTTCTTAATAAACGATTTACAACTCCAGTCTGGATAAAGGTGAGCCTTTCTGTTTGACAAGAAATATTTGTAATTTCAATACTCATATATTCTTATTTTATCGGCCAAATTTGTATGTTTTGACATTTCCTGTATATATTTGATCAAAATAGCACAAGGAGCCGCGGGAAGTGAATATGTTTGTTGATCTACTTCTCCTAGAGGTTTGTTCAGTCACTTATCAGATTGAAATTGTGTGCTCATGCACATTAAACTATAATCGAGCATGCGTTATCTTTCCGAATTTAGCTTTTGGAGCCTTGAAATGCTGCTGATGGATTTTGTTAGTTTCTTTAACATATCACTCTCTTTCTTTTCTTTAGTTCAATGGAGTAGTGTCTGAAGTCAAACAGGTATTACCTGGTTTGATTCGGCGACATCGACATTCTGATAGCACTGGCAGCACAACTTCCTCAAGAAGTAATCCAATGCGAGAGGACATGTTGAACCGATCAAACACACACCGTGCCAGAAGTCAATTTTTAGAAAATCATCTAGCAAAATTATTCGAGCAGAAAATGGAAATATTCACCAAAGTTGAATACACACAGGTAGATATCTGTTCCCTTTTCTGTTATCTCCTTAAATAACGTATTTCTTTTTACTTCTAGAAAATATGAATTCCGTCAAGGATGCTTTGCACCCCTTGTTACTGTAAAGTCCCCCTGTAAAGTATTCATTTGGTCTCATTTATTTTTGTTGGCATTCAAAAAAAGAGGTTACAATTGCACCCTTTTGTCAATTACATGGCGTAGTTTGCCTTATCAGAGTCTTCATTTGACCAATAATTTCTTTTACAATTTATTGCTGATAACTAAAAAACCATGGTGAAATACAAATCTAATTCACTTCTTTATCATTAAACATATATTCCATCCTACCAATTAACTTCTAAAAATCTCAGTTATAAATTTGTAAGTATGCACACCTTAGAAAAAATAGAGGGCGTAATTAATAAAATACCACTATAAATGTATTGTGGTAGAAATTAATTGACAAAGTTGCATCTTATAGGGCACGGAAAATAAAAATGCCAAGAATTTTCTCAATATGGGTGAGACTACATTTAAACCACTGCGGCAACCTTTCTTCTTGTTAGATACTGCATCTTCTGTATGTGGTCATACAACAGCTTATTGGTTGAATTTGTCAATGTATATTGCAGCAGAGTTGCTGTAGTTCCTGTCCTGGTTGACTTGCTTGGTGATCAAGTTAAATTTTCTTGTCTATAGCATCATCTTAATCTGTTTCCTAAATGTAATTCTTCATATTATGGGTGAATTTCAGGAATCTGTAATTTCTGCTGTCCTCAAGCTCTGCCTGAAAAGCTTGCAAGAATTTGTTCGGCTTCAGACATTCAACAGAAGTGGATTTCAGCAAATTCAGCTGGATATGGAATTTCTCAAGACATCCCTTAAGGAGTTTGTTGATGATGAAGCAGCTATTAGCTTTTTACTTAAAGAGGTTAGATACAGTTACCTCCTTGCCATTGATTTCTTCTACAGATGTTTCAAAACAATTTTCAGTAGTTTTATTTGTTCCTTTCTGTATACACCCCCCGTTGGTGTAGAAGCCGAGTTTTATAAATTCCCATTATCTGGAAAAAAAAAGAACTGGACGAGTTTTCAGTCTTTTATGCACACATAACATTTGGATAGAGTTTTGATCTATCATGTTAAAAGAAAGTGCATGTCATTTAGTTTCCTCCTGGGAACTCGTCTCAGTTATTTGATCATTGATATTCGTTCTCTCTCCTGTGCAGGTGAACAATGCTGCTCACGAGAGATGTCTTGACCCAATCCCTCTCGAGCCGCCCATATTGGATAAGCTCATCAGTGCAAAACTAGCAAAGATTAAAGAGCAAAGTCCAAATATGCAGTAGCTACGCCCAATTGGTTATTCCTTCCCCTAGCAATCAGTTTCATCTGGTCATACACCGTTCACAGCTATGTGCATATGTAAATCTGTCAAACACTCAAACTGAACCAACTCACCCCGAAAATGTAATACTATGTTGAGCTCTCAGCATCGAGAAATGCTCTGTTAGTCTTGTGTGCATTGTCTCGAGTTCAGGGGAAATATTGATGATCAAGGACTTGAATTTAATCAAACGTGAGTCCACCGTCCACATTAATTCAATTTTGTGAGGAAGCAACACATGTATAAGGGCGTGTTTTCATATCTTGCGTACATGACAATTTTTGCCACCCGTTTTCATATATAAATCATCTTTGTATTATGAAATTTTGCTTGTTGCTCCGGCATGTTTTGCATGTTGTATCTGCGTAGGCGCGTAGCGAATTCTTGCCTCTAGGTGAAACATGAAAATTGCTTAGTATACCCTGTGTTGATATGGCAAACGAACTAACACAAGTAAAGACGAAAAGCCAATTCATAATGCATGAATCTTCATACCGTACAGTGAGAGAAGGCCATACAGATCTTCCGTATTAAGCATCAGTAATTCTCATTGTTCTCAGGAAAAACATAGAGAGCAACAATCTGTAATGTACCCAAACAATACAAATAAGGCACAACCAACTAACGATTCCATGATGCTTGACCTGCGCACGTAAACGAGACACAACACCCTAGTGTAGTTTGATATCTAGAAGCCCTAATAATGGCAATCCTGAAGGACTGCACAAGCGAATGTACAGAGAGATGTTAACAGTTCAACAATGATAACAGCAGGGTAGAGATATGGAACTGCAGAGTTATACATTTGGCATTGAAGAGCAAACAACAACATAGGCCAAGTATTGGAGGGCGTCTTGCAACTTGCTGACAGCACTGGTCTGATCGGTATTTAGATGGTTGGATATGTATTTAGCTTTCTCCTGCACCGAATTTTGGTTCGAGAGATCATCCTTCTTGTCAGCCAGAGCATTTTGTATAGCTGCCATGTAAGCTTCAGCCACATCGGATATTCCTACGAAAACAATAAGATGAACTTGTTAAAACTAAGTTCGTGCCGTGCATTATATAATCACAAGAAGACCATTACATGTACCTGTAGCAAAACTTGCAGACACCTTTTCAATATCCACGGAGATGGACTGTGCTTTCCATCTGATGATTTTAGCCTTTGAAATAGGATCTTCAGGCCATTCAATTTTCACATCATTTTCATCATCTTCATTCTTTGGTTTAGAAGAAGCCGAAATAACAGATTTTCCAAGCAGCAGAAGTTGAGAGACTGCAAGGCAACACATTTCTGACAATCTCTGCGACAGGAAATTTTTATAAGCAAAATGTATAGTTCAAAGAGCAAGGATAAACAACTGAACATTATACAATATGGACGTACGTGAACACCCTCCGAGTGAATAGTCTCTAGCCTATTAGTGGTCCGTTTGACAATCTCATTTGGAGAGAGCCCGCCCAAGGCAGTGGTGAACCTGAGAAGACAAATGTCAGTATGTAAAGCTTTAGAAAAATAACGTTGGAGGATAAAATTCAAGTGCTTGAAGATGCTTTACAGAGGTAAAACTGAGCTTATAGTCAGACAGTACACTGCATGGCTGCAAAACAGTTAAACATGGATGTTGCTTCCACACATGCATATGAATTTTCTCAATATGTAGGAGTAATTGCTGTCTCAGCATGACTAATATGTTTACTTCATAATCCTGAGTAATACTTCTTAAAGGTTTTAGCATGATGCTCTAGTATTAGCCGCACTTATATTCTTCATTTAGCATTGTCACTAACTAGCATTTCAGTAAGAAACCAGTCCATATCAGTTGCATATGCCTGTCAGATCTTGTAGAATATGAGTTTGTGCATTGGATGATTGACGATGCAAAATGGAGTTACACCTACCCTGCAGCCATTTTTGCAGCCTTGCTAACACTTGAGTCGCATAACTTCTTCATCTCTGCATCAGAATCAGAATCAGCTGCTTCAATCTTTTTTCCTTTGTTAGAGTCTGGTCCATCTTCATCAATCTTGGTGCTAAGACTAAAAATCTGTTGTATTTCTTTGAGCTTTCCATCATAATATGTTTTCTGCCCAGCAACAAGTTTACCCTTCTTCCTATTAAATAATAGTGCATAATGGCTTGACAGTGCCTCCAACTCCTAGTAAAAGACAGCCATGACCAAGTAAAAAAAAGGAACAAATATTGGCAACAAAACAAATTGAGATCTTGTGAAAAGGGGGACCTCTAATTGATCAGGTCCTCCATAAATATAGAAGCATCTGTCAAATGACACTTCTTCAAACTGCTCCTCTTCTGTCTGCGGATCACCTTCACCAGTACCTTTGTCAACATCCATACCAGTCTCTTCGATGATAAACTCCATTGTCTCTTTTCCTACACGTTCAAGTACCTCCATTCCTTTGGCAGTAAATGACTTCCCTGTCTGTAATTATTGAGGCTTTATTATTAAAATGATACCCGTAGATGTGCCGAATAAACATTATTACTGAATTACCTCTAGAATGGTTGGTGCTATTACAGATGCTTTAGCAGGCAGTTCCCCTTGTTGAATGGTTTCAGCAAGGCTTGAAGCAGAAGTCTCCAATCTAGGAAAGTAACAATATTATATAAAAACGCAATGATGCTGAAATGTTTCTACCTCAAGTAAAGATGCAGCATTGTTGATAACGAAAACATTACTAACTATTTCAGCATTGAAAGAAACTTGAAATACTTATAGTGCAAGATGATCCATACAGAAAATAGAAATGTTTCTTCAATAAAAGTATCGCATTTGGAATCCCTTCAACACACTGCATTTTCAGTGGATCGACAATTTTTTACATCATCCAAAGGATCTAATATTGTGACGGATTTATCGCATACTTCTTCAGCTGTTCTACATGCTGTATTAATTATTAAGTACTCCTATTCAGCACAGATATGCTAGCTGGTTCTAATATCCACTCAAGGCATCACAGCAGGAAGAGAAATGGAGTTAAGAAGAGTGCTATACTTCTGAACAAGCAGTGATCCGCTCTTCCACGCACTCCCGAGCGCTTGCCATGTCCCAGTCGTGATAGTCTCCACCGAGCTGTCGAACACCTTGAGCCCCTGCAGAGCCCCAACACAAACATCCCAAACAACCACATTAACCACCACTATCCCGAGAAATGCCCAGGGGTCTTCCGGCTAGCTCCACAAGGTGGTGGGCTAGACGACCTGGTTCAAAGCCTCACCCCTCCTAATTATTTGATATTAGGTCCTTCCCTAATATTCTAGTTTTTTTTTAACCACCACTATCCCCAAACCCATCGGACCCCATCGCCGGCATTGCCGAGGAGAAAGGAACAGCAAAGGTGGTAGTACAACTAGCCTGTCCCAAGAGCGAGTCCTCGCTGGCGTTCTCCAGCTTGTCCAGCGCCGCCTTCCGCTGCTCGTCCTCCTCCCCTCCTCCCTCGGCCGCCTTCTCCTTCTCCTTCTCCTCCCCGTCTCCGGTCCCCACGTCCTGCTCCGGCGGCTGCTGTATGTCGGCGATGGCGCTCTTCGCGACCTCCACCGCCTGCGTCACACGCCACACCACATCAGAAACAAAAAAAAAAACCCTAGCGAAAACGGCGGCGCGCGCGAAGCAGGAAGCCGGGAGAGCGGCGCGCACATTGCGGGAGATCTCGGAGAAGATGGAGAGCCCCCACCCTCCCCATCCCCCTCCGCCGCCGCTGCCGGCCTGCTGCTCTGCTGCCGCGGCGGCCTCCGCCGCCGCCGCGGCGGGTGGCTGCTCGCCGGACATGGTGGGTGGGTGCGTGCGTGCTAGTGAGCGTCTCGCGTCGCGTGCGGGTTACTCTGCTTCTGCCCGAGGCGCACGGATCTAACCCGAGCCGGACCGCTTGCAACTGCAACCACCGGTGGGCTCACCAACTTGGTCGTAACTGGCACCGCGGTGGTGGGTCCCACCTTTTTACCCCCTAGGCCACGTTCTCTCCAAGGCCTCGTTTTCGATGGGCCTGACCTCCGGCCCATACAGATATATGGGCCTGAATTGGGCCCACTGGCCCAACCCACAAGGCCACTACTAAACCCACCTCGAAACCCCAGTCCGGTTGCTTCGCTTCGCCGGAGGAGGGGGAGATGGAGGAGGAGGAAGCGGCGCCGGAGTGTACGGACGCCATGGGGAGCGAGGCGGCGGCGGGGGATGTGGCTGAGACTGAGGAGGTGGTGGTGGCGTCGGAGGCGGAGTATTCGTGGCCTCAGCTCCGGTTCGACCTCCCGCCCCGCCGCCTCTACCACTTCGCTGGCCAGTTCCGCTCCGCCGCCGCCGCCGCCTCCGCCTCCGCGGGCAACTTCCTCAAGGGCGTGAAGTGGTCGCCTGACGGGTCCTCCTTCCTCACCAGCTGCGACGACAACTCCCTCCGCCTCTTCTACCTGTGCGTCGCCCCCCCTCTCGTCTTCTCGTGTCTTGTGGCTTCTCTCGCGGTGTTGAAGCAATGCACCGAACTGATCTTTTTTTTTCTTTATATTTCTGGGACAATGAGCAGGCCGGAGGAAGCGTACAGTACCGAGGCCGAGCACCCTGCTGAGGCCGCTGTTGGAGGTGAAGGTGCGTCTGGGATAAATGACTTTCTTTCTTTTTTTTCTGTAAACTAGTATAGTTATTTTGTTGTTGAATGTTTGCTAGATTTCAAGTTTTTGTTGGCGTAATTTAGGATGTATAATGTTGTTGATTTTTTTTTCTGCAGATTCCTATGGTGCAAGCATCCAAGTGAACGAGGGTGAGCCTGTATATGACTTCTGCTGGTACCCCTACATGTCTGTATCTGGTGGGTGAATTGCTTCCTATGTACTGCTGTTTAGGATCATTTGTTATTTGTGATTGTTTGGTGAAATATGTGAATATGTGATGCTTGAATTTGGGGTTCTGTGTCACGTTGCAGATCCTGCTACGTGTGTATTTGCGACGACCAGTCGTGATCATCCAATACACCTCTGGGACGCTACCACTGGGGAGGTAGAATTGGCGGCTTGTGCTTGTTTCGTTTGGAGTTGATAATCAGTTATTCGTTTGAGATGATCTATTGTGAGAATTGCAGCTTCGGTGTACTTACAGAGCGTATGATGCCATGGACGAGATAACGGCTGCACTTTCTATATCCTTCAATTCTACTGGTACTAAGTATGTACAATGCACTCAACCTTCTTAACTGCATTTATATTGCATGAGTAAATTTGCTAGTGCATTTTTGTGGAACCATGAGATTCTACTCTCACCTAAGTGTGGGAAGTTGATTGTGTTTTACTGATATACTACCTCCATCCTTTAATATATGACGTTGGTTTGTTCACCAACGTCCTACATTAAAAGAACAGAGGGAGTATGATATTTGCTACGAATGTTTTTGGTTTGAACCAAAATCTTGTTGGTTCGAAAATAACATATACAATGTTTGTACTGAACTTACTGGGCTACATCTTAGACCATAGAGTCTACCTATATGTTAGCTACTAAAGTAGACCAATGGTCGTGCAACTACACTATAACATAATCTTCTTGGCTGTTATACTCAATGGAGGTATGATGTTTTTGTAGGCTCTTTGCTGGGTACAACAAAGCAATTAGAGTGTTTGATGTTCACCGCCCTGGTAGAGATTTTGAGCAGCATTCTTTGCTTAAAGGATGTGAAGGGCCGACTGGTAAGTGACAGTTTAAAACTTCCAATCTAAGTTTGATTTGCTTGTATACCTCATGGCAGCACATAATTTGTTTTGGTTTGGGTAAAATTGGGATGCATAAATGGTTGTTTAATTGTAATCATTGTGTAACTTTGGAAATCTGTTACACTTGAAAGCACAATCATAATGTGTCTGCTAATTTGAAATGGGTACATTAGCTTAAAGCATGTTTATGCACACACTGAACATTTATGCACCAAAGTACCAAACTATTTTGGTGTTTAATCTTCTCAGATCACTAGGGTATTGATAAAGAAGGCCTTAAATGAATGCTTTTTTCTTTCTGGGTGAGAGGTGAAACAATCTTATACGCTGCTTAGCTCTTTGTTTGCTCCACAGGTATAATATCTTCAATTTCATTCTCTCCTCACAACGGGATGCTTGCTGTTGGTTCATACAGCCAGACAACAGCTGTGTATGCGGAGAGTAACATGGAGCCTTTATATGTTTTACATGGCCAGCTTGGTGGTGTCACACAGGTTCGTAAAGCAACCATACAAATTTACATCTTATTGTATAAACAGAAGATAACATTGATGGAAATTTTAGGTACTCTTTTCAAAAGATGGAAACTATTTGTATACTGGAGGGCGCAAGGTAACTAACACTCGTGTTCTTCTAACAATTGATCTTTTGAGACTGGCACTTCACAGTTCAATCCCTTTATGTTATGAGATTTATTTACCCAATTATTTTTAGCATCTGAAGATGCTTCTGAACTTTGTGAATTCATTTCTGTAATTTCTCCCTAGGATCCATACATACTATGTTGGGATATCCGCAACACTGTGGACATTGTTTACAAGTAAGCATTTTGTAATACACCTTCAAATTTATCATTTTTGTTTTGACGTCTCATTGTATTGTTAAGGCACATCTTGTGACTATTTCCTTAGTCATGGTAGTCCTTTTTTTAGAGTAAAGATCACTATATTGATAACGATCATGGTAGTCCTTCTCATTGCTTATTTTGGTGGGATCCCTTAATCAGGCTGTACAGGTCGTCTGATACTACTAATCAAAGGATACATTTTGATATTGAGCCTTGTGGCAGGCATCTTGCCACTGGCGGGCAGGTGCGCTCCTCTTGCCTCCCATCTTTCCATTGGGGTTATATTTTTGTACTAGCTCATCTTAAAACAGTCCCTTTTTTTGATAGGATGGCATGGTACACATTTATGACCTCCAAGGTGGTCAGTGGGTAACAGCCTTCCAAGCAGCAGCTGGTATGTGTTTCTGGTCTTCTGTTGCTAGAGGAGTTGATGTTTCTGTGGTACTCCCTTTGTGATACCTATCTGTTTAATCCTAGATACCGTAAATGGGTTCGCGTTTCATCCATACCTTCCTTTGGCTACAACATCTTCTGGGCACAGAAGATTTGGCATGGAGGATGAAATTGAAGAAGAGCTGAGCTTGGCTGGTGCGTGTTATATATACTTGCTGTTTTCTAAAATATGGTTGTGCTGCTTGAATGGTGAACGCTACACATTTTTCCCCCTTTCTGCACGCTTAGGTGATGAGAACTGCTGCTCGGTCTGGAAATTTTCTTCCTTGCAAGAAGCTTGAAAGTTGAAACTACATCAAGGCCTGGATAAGCGAAAATTTTGGATCATAGATGTTGAAATTGTTGCAATCAGTTTGCAGATGGTGATACCAACACTTGAGGCAGTACATCAAGCCATGACTATAAAAGCAGTCACCAAAGATCACCCTGTGCCAAGGAGAAGCTAGTGTCGTGTGCATGGTTTCATTGTCAAATGGTTGCTCCAACTGTTGCACATCGTATTGGTAACAACTGATGTAGGCTGAAGCTAGTAAAGCATAATGTATTCATCGACAGCTACAATTTGTCCCCTTTTGTACTGATCCAACTCAAATGCTTTAACAATGTCGGATGACATGGAATGATGGCAAAGATGCACTTTGACCCGTTTATAAGAATAGAATTTATCTTGCCTAGCATATTGTCCGTGCGTTATTGCGATTTTTTTTGTTAAAAAAATGACATCATCCTGTTTTTACTATTATTTTCTACATATCTCATCTCTTAAGTGATTTGTTTTTTTAATAAATAGGTATTTTTAATAAGGGTGATAGGTTAGCAACACTTCATTTTCTCCTTCAAAAAAGTAGAAAGTTGGTGGTGAAAGTGATGGTAGATTCACCGCTCACTACTTGCTTCTTTTAAAGTGGTATAGGAGTTTAGTAAATAATTGAATTGATTCCATATTTATGGAATTCATGTGTCAAATGAGACTTTTTATGCCATGTATAATGAAACACGCACGTGGTTAACACATCGATCTTAATTCTGCACTAGATTGGTTTTTATGGGACGGAGAGAGAAGCTACAAATCAAATCGTATCTTGAGGAAGATGGAATGAATTTTCAACTTTAAATCTGGAATTGATTTTGGAGTTTTTTTCTCGAAGTTTATTTTTCATCCTTTGCTTTTAATAGTTAAAAGCACGTATATAAAAGTTTTATCCCCAGAATATTTTTCATTTGACTGAAAGTTCAAAGCGCTGTCACGCAACGCGGACCGTCCATTAGCCGGACTCTCCAATCTCCACCGCGAAAGACAAGAAGATCGGACGGTCCAAAACCGACGACGGCGTGAAGAAAACTCTCTCTCCTCGGTACTTCGGGCTTAGTCCCCCCCTTCTCTCTCCGGCGGCCGGCCTCCGCCTCCGCCTCCGCTGTTTCTCCCCCGAGAATTCCGGCGCGCGGCGGACGATGCGACCATGCAAAACCCTCGGCCCCCCTACGCCGCCCACCACCAGCTGCAGCAACACCTCGCTTCCCTCCTCTCCGCCGCCGCCGGCGAGCCGCCGCACCCCTCCGACGACGCCTCCCGCGCCGCCGCCCTCTCCACCCTCCGCCTCTCCCTCCTCCACCCCCCCAACCGCCCGCTCCTCCCCTCCCTCGCGCACTTCATCGCGCCGCCCATCTCCGTCCTTCTCGCCGACGATGCGTAAGTGTGCCCCCCTCCTCTCTCCTCGCCCCGACCCGTGTAGGTTCTCGCCTTCTCGGCTCACCGGCTTGTGATTGTGCAGGTCCTACGCCGTGCGCCGCGCCGCGGTGTCCGCGTACGCGGCGCTCTGCGCGGTGCTGTGCGCGCACGAGGCGCCCGGTGGCCTGCCCGACCGGTTCGTAGCCTGGGGTTTGCCGCTTCTGGGGGAGCCGACCTCGGCCGCGCTCCTCGCCGAGGGGCTCAGGGAGCTCCTGGCCACCGGGGACGTGCCCGCGGTCGAGCGCTTCGTGCCGCCGCTCCTTGCCGCTTGCCGCGACGTGCTCGAGGATGAGCGGACGTCGCTCACCGTGCTCCGGTGCCTGCTCGGCCTGCTCACTTTGGTCGCCGCCAAGTTTCCCCACTGCTTCCGGCCGCAGTTTGTCGATATCGTGGACCTGCTCCTTGGGTGGGTGTTTGTGCCAGACCTTGCCGAGTCCGATCGCAGCACGATCATGGACAGTTTCTTGCAATTCCAGTGGCATTGGCTTGGCAATCTGCAGTTCTCGCTTGGATTGCTGCCGAAGTTCTTGGCAGACATGGAGGTTCTTGTGCATGATCCTAATCTTGCAGCCAGCCATAACTCTGGCCGGCTTCGCCCACTCTTTGCTTGCTTCTCCACAGTACTGCAGATAATGGCATCTGGTGTGGCTGAGAGAAATAGCCTTAAGGAACTTATAGCAGGGCCACTTGAGGGGTTGTCTCCTCAGCTTTTAAGGTGTGCATCAGTGATTGCTTCTAAGCTCGGGTGGTCTGAGAGGATGGAAGAAGCGTCCAGATGCCTAGTCTTACTAGCAGAGATCCTTCAGGAAAGGTTTGCTGAATTTTATGGTATGTTTGTGGATGTGTTGGCCCAGAGCTTGGAAGTTGCCTCATCAGTGCAGTTGGTGGCAGCACTTAAGACTAACCTGCAAGTTCTGTCACTGCAAAATTTGGGGCTCCGAGCATCTGCTGTGGAAGCCTTGCTTGATTTTAGCTCATTTCTATCTCGGTTGCGTCTTCATCCAAACCACACCATGGTCACAAATGTGGCAACCACTTACCTTTTTGTCCTGCAACATGGATTGGAAGATGTAGTTGATCAAGCCATTTCATCATTGATGAAAGAGTTGGAGCTATTGAAATCTCTGCTTGAGACGGGACGAGCAAGCTACCCTGATATCCAGAATCTATCTTTAGGTAGTAACAGTGAAACACAAAGCAAGTCAAACTCATCCACATTCTCATTGGTGGGGTATTCAGAGCATCAGTTGCTTTCTTTGATGAAATTTGATTTGAAGATTCTTCTGGCTACTATTTCAGTTGATACAAAAAAGAGGAACGACAAAGCAGCTAGTCTGACATCATTCATTTCAGCAAAGCTTGACCCATTTGGTACTCCATTTCATGATTTTCTTGAGATGCAGTTTCATATTTTCTCTATACTACACAGATTGAGCAGTATGGACCTCTCAAGTACTATCGCACCATCTAAAGCAAACGGTTCTGGCGATTCAGGTAGTCAAACTCAGCTGGTTATTGAATCAAGGAAGTCCTTTTGTGACTGCAAAAACAAATTTATGCATAAGTATGGAAAACTTGTGGTCTGGGGCCTTAATGCATCATCATCCATGACACTGAAATTAGAAGCTCTAGCTTGGATAGATACGTTTGGAAACCTGGTTCTTGGCATGGAAAGGGATGTGGATAAGCGCAATATCTCATACGAAGTCCATGAGGGTGCTACCCTTCTGAATACTATCCTTTTTGCAATCTTGGATTGTGCATATGACAGAGAACCTAAAGTAAGACTGCATGTTGCAACATCTTTGGAAATACTCTTTCTTGGTAGGCTTATCAATCCCATGGATTTCTCAGTTGTGACACAAGTTCTTCTTGACAAGCTTAGTGATCCTGATAATGCTGTAAAGAAAGGATTTTCAAGGTTACTTTCAATTGCTCTTCCTATTACAACATACACATTTGGCTTGCTTGAGAATAGATGGAGTTACCAGCATTCCCCAGATACTGCTAACATGAGTAAGCATTGCATGAGTTGGAGGCATGTGCTTGCTGTGAAGCAACAACCCAGGAAACTTCATTGGCAGCAGCTTGTTTCAATTTTGAGCTACCTTTCTCTCAGATTGAAGTTACCTCTTTCTTCTTGGGTCCAGCGCCTGTTCTTTAGTTACCGTGGCAAGAAAGATATGTTCTCTGGTCAAACTGATGTTTCTGGGGATTCTGATGGGAACGAATTATTTAAAGGTCCAGATGTGGACAGAACTATTATTGATAGGATCTACTCAGTTAACAATCTTGCTGCGGTTTGGTGGGGCATTCATGAAGCTGCTCGGCACTGCATAAACCTTCGACTTCGAACTCATCTTGGTGGCCCGACACAGACATTTGCAGCTCTAGAACGCATGCTTTTGGATGTACCGAATCTATTGGCACCAGAAGCTACCGAAGGTGAAGGCAGGTATATAGCACCATCTGACACAAGCTTATTGCCTATGCGCCTGCTGTTGGATTTTGTTGAGGCGTTAAAGAAATATGTTTACAATGCATATGAAGGTTCCTTTGTTCTACCAGCACCTCCAAAAGCAAGTTCCTTGTTTTTTCGAGCAAACAAACGAGTCTGCGAAGAGTGGTTTTCTAGAATTTGTGATCCAATGCTGAATGCAGGATTAGCTTTGCACTGTAATGATGCGGTCATCCACTACTGTTCATCGCGTCTTCTAGATATCAGAAACCTTGCTGCATCATCCCTCAAGGACAACAGTCGCATGGGAGGAGCTACTGAAAGTCACCATGCTTTTAGAGAGAGGTTAGAGGCAGATTTTCTGAAGGTCTTGCGACATGCTTCACTGGCATTATGCAGGTGTCATGAAACAGATGCCTTAGTTGGGCTTCAGAGATGGGCCATATCAACGTTCTATACATACTTTGAGCAGGACAAACAACTAGTTCGAGGTGTATCTGATAGCCAGAATCACTTCTCCTGGATGTCAGGACTCATCTATCAATCTCAGGGGAAGTATGAAAAGGCTGCTGCACATTATTCCCATCTTCTACAGTTTGAAGAAGGCCTTGCCTCCATGGAATCTGATGGCATCCAGTACATCATAGCACGTGTTATTGAGTGCTACACGTCCCTGTCTGATTGGAAATGCTTAGAGGGTTGGCTTTCAGAATTACAAGTTCTCCGTGCTGTACATGCTGGCAAACCTTATTCAGGTGCTTTAACTAGCGCTGGCAATGAGCTAAATGCTGTTCATGCCATGGCATGCTTTGATGGAGGGGACTTCCATTCAGCTTGGGGCTATCTTGATTTGACTCCTAAAAGCAGCAGTGAACTCAGCCTTGATCCCAAGGTTGCAGTTGAGAGAAGTGAGTTAATGCTCTTGCGTGCAATGCTTCAATCTCACAGCAAACCTGACAAGGCACGAGAGGAGCTAAATAAGGCTAAACTGATGTTGGATGAAGCACTCTCTGTGGTCCCACTCAATGGATTAACCGAAGCTGCTGCTTGTGCTGGTCAGCTTTATTGCATCTTTGCATTTGAAGAAACCACTGAACTGGCATGCCCAAATAGAACTAATCAATCGCCAGCGCTAATGGATTATTTACTGAGACTACTGCAGGATCCCATCGATAGAATTAATCAAGATTGCAACATTTGGCTGAAAATCTTCAAAGTGTATTGTACTACACAACCATCTTCTTTACCCACACTTCTTTTGTGTCAGAAACTTGCTAGTCTTGCTAGAAAGCAGAGCAACTTGAAATTGGCTAGCCGCTTAAATCAGTACATCATAAACCACCCTTTGAGTTCATCTGATGAGATGGAAAAAGAAATGCTTACTTTGAACATTAAGTATGAAGGTGCCCTGCTGAAGCACGATCAAGGAAAGAAGGAAGAGGCTTTAACTGACCTGTGGTCACTGGTTCGTGCTACTGTTCTTTCTACAGTTAGTGATTCTTCTGGTGCTGGCACCCCATTGATTGCTAAAGCCTGTTTGAAATTCTCGACCTGGATGGAACGAGAGAATTCAACTCATATTATGAATATGATCCTTCCGAAGGTGATAGAAGATATTAATGATTCTGGTGGCTTCCAAAATGGAGCTGAGAAGCTTTTGTTAGGTGATAATGGATCAGTTTCTGCATCGAATTCTCATGTGGTTTCCCAAGAAATCATAGGAATTGCTCGAAAGACAAGCTGGCAACTTTGTCCCAGTATGGGTAAAGCATGGCATTCTTATGCATCCTGGTGCATTACTCATGCCAATTACTCTCTATCTGGAACTGATTCAAAATTGCAGAATTCGTTGTTCCCTGCTCTCCAGTCTGAGCTTTCTCCAGATAGATTTCACCTGACAGACAACGAAAAGTCTGAAGTGCAGGAAATAATAAGAAATTTCTGTGCTGATAAAGATGGAAATTATGTGGACTGTAGCATTTCACCAACGGCAGGATGCAGTTACAATTCTGAGGGGAATCCCATCGTTTCACTAATTGAGCAAACAATCTGTCTGCTAGAAACTGCAGCTGGAGCACCAGGCTCTGAGGCCTGTGATGGTGAAGGGCCTTCTGTACGGTTATCATCAGAGCTAACAGTTCTTTTCTGTAAATGTGATTCTGCAAAGGACAGTAGCATGACTTTGATTGGCAAGCTTATTGAAATTTGGTGGACTTTAAGACGTAGGAGAGTATCACTTTTTGGGCATGCTGCTCATGCCTATTTTCAGTACCTTTCGCATTCATCAACTGGGCTTCAACCCTCATATCACCGTGATGTTTTGAAAGGGAAAACAAAGAGCTACACTCTGAGGGCATTGTTGTATCTCCTCCATATAATTTTGAACTACGGGGTGGAGTTGAAGGAAATAGTTGAAAGTGGGCTTTCAACAGTTCCTTTGTTGCCGTGGCAGGTACATCACGATAGTGACATTAATTCTATATTATGATAAAATTGGTGTGTAATCATATGCTTTGGATATATGCAGGAGATTATACCGCAACTTTTTGCCCGCTTGAGCTTCCACCCAGAGAAGATAGTTAGGAAACAGTTGGAAAGCATATTGGTGAAGCTAGGGAATCTTTCTCCTTGTTCAATTGTATATCCTACTTTAGTCGATATCAATGCTTGTGAAGGAGAACCCTCGGATGAGCTTCAGCGCATATTGGATTTTCTGGTATTTTAGATACTTTGAACTACATATTTGTTTAGACTATGAATGGCATGCACAGTATTTATATTTCACCCTTTATTCTTTTTCACAGGTTAAGCAATATCCCAAACTAGTTAAGGATGTTAAGCTTGCAATTGAGGAGTTAGGAATGGTTACTGTTCTATGGGAGGAACAATGGTTGAGCACTTTACAAGATCTCCATTCAGGTAAATCTGTTCTCTGCTTCTGCTGTCCTATGGAATCAGCTGCAGCTATAATTGAAAATGTAAACACCTAGCTATGAATATGTTTACTTGTAAAGAGTACTATATAACTTGTAAAGTTCTTTTGTGCCTTAACTGCAATGCCTGACACACCCTAGGGTTCAATAATTAAAAACCTCTACGATTCTTGTTATTGCCAATTTTGCCATGTCCCTCCAGAGTTAACACAAACAATTCTTGTTATTGCCAATTTTGCCATGTCCCTCCAGAGTTAACACAAAATCCTCTAACTACAGCTCCAATATCATGAAATGGTAAAATGCCTTGCTGCATAAGATCTCTAGGTTTAATGGTGTCCCTTTAGAGTTTTATGAAGTTCACTAAGTTCAAACTATAAATAAATTGCTTATGTTGTAAATCGAACTTTCCTTGTCACTTGCGAATTGAAATACACCCTTTTGGAAATGGATTAGGGGAATATCTTAAATTTAAATTTATCTATATGGGTTCATGTAAGGTATTGATATTCTTTGCTGCAATGTTTGCACCTTGGTTCTTTGTAAAAACTTATTTTACATTTGTAAATGTAAAATAAGTTAAAAAGGGCCAACGCACAAAAATTGCTGGTATCCTTCGCATGAACTGTCCTTTTCAGACTCTAGGCCTAGATGGCCAGTGGCCACACTTATTTAATTAAGTAAACTCTAATTTCAGGTCCTGTAAATAACGGGACAAATTTTTTGTTGCTATGTAGATGTTTTAAGGAGAATTAATATACTTAAAGAGGAAGCTGCAAGGGTTGCTGCAAATTCTACCCTGAGTTCAGCCGAAAAGAACAAGATCAATGCTGCAAAATACTCTGCTATTATGACTCCAATTGTAGTAGCCTTGGAGCGCCGTCTAGCTTCTACATCTCGTGAACCAAAAACATCTCACGAAGTGTGGTTCCATAAGGAATATAATGCTCAGTTGAAATCTGCAATCACAGCTCTTAAGACACCCCCTGGATCTCCATCAGCATTAGGAGAGATTTGGCGGCCTTTTGATTCGATTGCAGCTTCTTTAGCCACTCATCTGAGGAAGTCATGCATATCATTAAGTGAAATTGCACCACAGCTAGCAGCTTTATCAACCTCTAACATTCCAATGCCTGGTTTTGAGAAGCAGATATTCAGTTCTTCAGAATCTTCTTTTGCTGACAGTCATGGCACAATTACAATATCTTCCTTCTGTAAAGAAGTAACAGTACTTTCAACAAAGACAAGGCCTAAGAAGCTTGTCTTGCAAGGATCAGACGGCCAGAAGTATACCTATCTCCTCAAGGGTCGAGAGGATTTACGCCTCGATTCTCGGATCATGCAGCTGCTAGAGGCGATAAATAGCTTTTTTTATTCATCTTCTGACACTAGAAGTCGAAATATGGCAATACGATTCTACTCTGTTACACCAATTAGTGGAAGAGCTGGACTCATCCAGTGGGTTGAGAATGTAAGTAGCATCTACAATGTGTACAAGACATGGCAAAAACGCTCTCAGTTAGCACAGGCACAGCTCTCTTCAGTTAACACTGTTAATAATAGTATTCACAAATCAGTACCACCTGTTCCCCGTCCAAGTGATATGTTCTATGGAAAGATCATTCCAGCACTGAAAGAAAAAGGGATCAAAAGAGTAATCTCACGAAGAGATTGGCCACTAGATGTTAAAAGAAAGGTTCTATTAGAGCTTATGAAAGAGACCCCAAAGCAGATACTGTGGCAAGAAATGTGGTGTGCAAGTGAAGGGTTCCGGAACTTTAACTCCAAAGTAAAGAGGTATATGGTACATGGCACTTCTGTTTTAACACCGTATTTGCATTAATCACTTGGCAATTTCTTCTTTGTTAGACCAAACCAAAGTAGGATTTTTTTGACAAGTTTGAACTACAGTTAGGTCTATCTTTTTACTTCTTGTCACCTTTTGAGAACAGGTACAAAATTTTGAGCTGGCAATTCAAGTTAATGATGTCCACATGAAACATAACCTGTATACCTGAAATTGAAATTTTGTGCATCTTAAACCGTACTGCTTTATTAAAAATAAAAATTTAAGAGAAACAAAACATTTACTCTTTTTGTAGAGGAAGAAAAGGCATCTGCTGAATAAGATAGTTGTGCCACTCTAGGGATGTTCTTTGGGAGACAAGTTAATGACTGCTCTTCTCTTCTCCATGAGCCAAAAATGATAACTTGAGGGTGGGTTAAATCTTGCTAACTACTCCCTCTGGTTACAAAAAAAAACATGTTATTTCAGACATGCTTCTAAGTTATACTTTCAAAACTTCAGGAATCTATATTTTTTAAAATATTTAGGTTTGACACATGAAAATAATTTGTATACAATTGTCTTGAGAGAAGGAGTACATTCGTAATATTCTAATTTTAACTTAGTTTATTAATATATTCAAGAGAAATTTGTGGTCAAAATAGACTGTCTAAACGATCATGATCGGAGGGAGTAGTTTATTCTCCATAATACACTTTATCTAGCTTCCTAACCTTTACAAATAGAGGTGTACCATTTCCATTGAAGAACAATAGCTGACGTTTTTTCTTCCTTTTCATTTTACTTCGCAAGATCAAATTTGTCCATTATCCACAGGTGCTTAACAATAAGTTAATTTCCTCTTGCAGATTCTCTAGCAGTGTAGCAGCCATGAGCATGATTGGCCATGTACTGGGCCTTGGAGATAGACATTTGGACAATATCCTTATGGATTTCAGCAGTGGTGATGTGGTTCACATAGATTACAATATATGCTTTGATAAAGGGAAAAGGTTGAAGATTCCAGAGATTGTTCCATTCCGTCTTACTCAAACTATTGAATCAGCTTTAGGATTAACTGGAGTTGAAGGTGTCTTTCGAGTTACTTGTGAAGAAGTTATGGCTGTTCTCTTAAGGAACAAAGATATCATATTAATGTTGTTAGAAGTATTTCTTTGGGACCCGTTGATGGAGTGGACACGTGGAAATATCCAAGATGAAGCTGGAATAGCTGGTGAGGAGAAGAAAGGAATGGAATTAGCAGTTAGTCTGAGCTTGTTCTCTTCTAGGATCCAAGAAATCAGAGTTCCTTTGCAGGTAATTTTGCCTCTTGGGTTTGGAATTTTCTCTTGCATCTCCTGGTATTAATATTTTTCAATATTATATGTAATTCAGTCTTGCAGGATGTTACTTGTCTTTTTGGGTTTCTCCAAAAAGCTGGGTAATAAGATTACCTTGCTGTCTAAAAGAAATTCAGTCTTGCAGGATTGAGGAATATATTGCCGCTCATTGCCCTGAAATATTTAGTTCCATTTTTTAGTTAACTTCTATGTTTTTTTAATCTAACTGGATTGCTTCCAATGTTCAGGAGCATCAGGATCTTTTGGTAACTAACTTGCCAGCTACACTATCTTCACTAAAGGTATTCTTTTCAACCGTATAAATACAAACTGTAAGTATTTCAAATAAAACTCACTTTATTCCATATCTTTTTACTATATATGCAGAAATTTTTGGATACTCTAGAGCAGTATGAGGTTATATCTGCTATGTTTTATCATGCTGAGAAAGAGAGATCCAGTGCTTTGCAGAGTGAAACATCAGCAAAATCAATGCTAGCTGAAGCTAGTTCACTTGCTGAAAAATCCCGCACTTCATTTGAGCTTCATGCTCATGAATTAGCGGAAACAAAAGCGGCAGCAAATGATGAAGCAAACAAGCTTGCAGTATGGGTGGAAAAACATGGAAGGATTCTTGAGGCCATACGGGACAATTCAATTGCAGGTGTAGAGTCATGCATGCAATTAAACAGCAAGGATGATGCCTTAAGCCTTATTTCAGCTGTGCTTGAATCAGAAGTCCCTCTTACAGTTGTTCCTGAGCCAACAAGAGCACAATGCTCTGAGTTGGATAGGGAGGTTTCTCAACTAATTCTTGAATTGCAGGGTGGGCTGTCTGCTGCCTTAGAGTCACTTGGTGAATATGCTTTGGTATTGCAGCAAGTTCTCCCAGTTAATTACATCACAACCAGCCCAGTTACTGGTTGGGCACAAGCTTTGCAGCTATCTGTAAGCAGTGGTTCAGAAGATCTGCTTCCCCTTGCCAAGAGGCAAGCAGCAGAAGTCATTGCTAAGGTTCAGGGTGAGGGTATTAATCTAGTTCAGCAAAGATATAGGGATCTCTTAAATCAAATGGAAAGTTATGTTGTGTGTATAGAAAGACTTGCAAGGGAACGTTCCGAACTGATGAATTCTATTGGATTCGAGAATGAAGTGCGATCTAAAGAGTGGATTCTTTCTGCATTCATGAACTCCATTCAATTGCCATCACCAAAGAGGGATATGGGTAACATTCCATTTTTACAATCAGGTAATGTTGGAGTCAAAACTCCAGCCCATGAGGATATACAGGATGAAACAGGTATTGTTCTTTCTATTCTTGGAATTGCTGTTGGTCAGCTATATAGTGACGTTAGAGCCAAGGTTTCTGAGCTTTCAAGTAAAGTTACTGGGATAGCTAAATTTAGAACAGATGAAGCTGGTCTTCAAGCTGATGCTGGAACAAGTTTGCAGTTGTTTGATCAGCAGGTTGAAAAATGTGCACTAATTTCAGGATTTGTTGGTGAAGTGCATGGAGTTATGGAGGCAAAATTAGTTGAAATGAATACAGCTTATGCAAAGCCCCAGCATGGGCAATGGGCTTCCACTTTTCAGCGCATTTTGTGCTCAAGTACCAACATGATTGAACAAATGACCGAAGTATTCCTTCCAGAAATTATTAGATCGTTTATTTCATACAATTCAGAGGTAATGGAAGCTTTTGGTTCAGTTTCTCAGATTCGTGGCTCTGTTGATACAGCTCTAGAGAAACTGGTTCGGATAGAACTTGAGAGAGCATCGATGACTGAATTTGAACAGAGCTACTTCATGAAAGTTGGACGAATCACTGAGCAGCAAATAGCTCTTGAAGAAGCTGCCATGATGGGTAGAGATCATCTGTCTTGGGAAGAAGCAGAGGAGCTAGCTTCCCAGGAGGAAGCATGCAGGGCACAATTGGAGCAACTCCAAGAAACGTGGAGCCAGAAGGATATGACGATTTCATCACTTATGAAAGTAGAATCCAGTGCCATGAATTCGCTACTTTCTTCTAAACAGTATTTCTCATCTTTGGTGAATGTTGATCAAGAAAGTGAATTTCATTTGAGAAGAAGCAAGGCTCTGCTTTCGGTCTTGACAAAGCCGCTTGCTGACCTTGAAGCACTTGATCATATGCTGTCAGCATGTGGCTTGTTTCCTTATCATGTAGATGGGCCCATTTCTAATCTAACAGATGTCTTGTCATCAGGTTCTTCATTATCTGATGTATTGTGGCCTTTTGCTGGCTTATTAAAGGATCATTGTTTCTTTGTTTGGAAACTCAGTTTGCTGGACTCAATTCTTGATTTGTGCATGCATGAGATTTCATCTTCTGTTGAGCACAGTTTTACTACTAACCAGCTTTATACAGCTCTTAAAACGAAGCTTACAAACCATGTGGAAAAACAAGTTTATCGGTATATCATGGAAAGGATTGCTCCTGCATTTATCCTACAGTTAGACAAAGAAATTAGTGATTTACTGCAATTGAGTCAAGGAAGAAGAGAATCTGGTCAACCTAAAAGAGATTCTGCAGCTGTTGGAAGGATTGCAGTAATGCTTGAGGAGTACTGTAATGCTCATGAGACAGCTCGAGCTGCCCGGACTGCTGTTTCTCTGATGCAAAGACAATCGAATGATCTCACAGAGGCTTTACGCAAAATCGTTCTAGAAATAATTCAAGTGGAATGGCTGCATGACCTTTCATCTCCTCACGCGCAGAAGTCTAAGGTTTTGTCACAAAATATTCTTAGTGATGATAAGTTCATATCTGTGCTCCTAAATATAAGCAGAGGCAACTTGTTGGATAAGATTCAATCTTCAGTGTCACTGGTAACAAGATCAATTGAGTGCCTGCAAGCTTGTGAAAACACTTCAGTTTCAGCTGAAGGACAACTTGAGAGAGCAATGGGATGGGCTTGTGCTGGTCCAAATACTTCTGGAGCAGGCAGTTCAACCACAAAGGCTTCAGGAATCCCATCTGAATTTCATGATCATCTGTTAAAAAGGAGGAAATTGCTTTGGGTCATCCAAGAACAGGCATCTGATCTTGCTAACATCTGCACATCTGTTTTGGAGTTTGAAGGATCGAGAGACGGAATTTACCTTATTCCTGAGGATAAATCTTCCGGACAATCTACTGACAGAGGCAGGACATGGCAGCAAACTTTCTTGAATCTCCTGACACGTCTAGATGCAGCATATCGTTCTTTCACATGTAAGTGACTACTTTTTCGCACTTCTATTGTATGTATGTTTAGATCAAGGACCCCCAAACTTGTTCTTGTGTCAAAACTGCCCAAGATAGCTTGCCACCATGAGATGCAGGCATATACAGGCTTCAATGAATCATCCTACTGCTTTTCTTTTTTCGGTTACTGTTTTCAGTGTTATTCTGTATAAGACATCAGTAAATGAGTGTAGGCCACCAAAGTATTGACAGAATTTGGATGCCGTGCACCTGTCTTAGTTCATCCTGCTTTATGATACGATTTTCTCGTGTTATTGTAACAGTTTTATTTCTGCTTGCTGCAAGCAGGTGCAGAACAAGAGTGGAAACTCAGTCAGTTCAACATGGAAAGTGCTGGGAAAAGCTTGTATTCAGTAACCAATCAGCTCTCTGTAGTCTCTTCGAGAGCAAAATCTGCTTTAGGTCTGCCATCTACTCATGACTTTGTTGCTTTGTGTTTCTTTTGGTTAAATAAATATTCTTTTTGTTCCTCATAGAGTGTTCTGTCTATATTTTCCCAGTTAATCTACAGGATACTCTTGTGTCCATGTATGAACGAGCTTCTGAAGTCACTGCATCATTATCTGGGTTCAAACATGTTTCACAGGATCGCACTGCTTTGACTTCTGAATGTGGTTCGTTACTAGAGGAGGTACGTGATTATTAAATATAACCTTTCCACGCACAAAAATCTTGTTGGAATCTACTGTGAGTGCATAGGAGTTGCTACTTATGAAGTCAGCCGTTTGTTTTCAGCTGTGCAACTTTGTAAATGATTGTGAACACTTTGGTGGTTAGACTTTAGTTTACGAGCTATATATAATTTAGCTATTTTACACATAAATCTGGGAAATTAGATATTTTATCTCTGGTTTTGTCAATTTATGCACTTATGTCCCTTTTTAGTTGTTCATGGTGATCAAATCCAAATTTTTATCTGTAGTTGTTGATTTCTGGGAATTCTTTTTGCAGGTTTTGGCAATAGCAGAGGGGTTGCATGATGTATATATCGTGGGAAAGGAAGCTGCTGTTATGCACAATTCAATTATGTCCAATCTTTCAAAGGTTTTTTTCACTGTTACGCTTTGTTCTATTGCATTTCCTTTCCTAGATCAATATGAACACTTGGTCCCGCAATTTGAATATTTGGTCCTGGATACTCAGTGGCAGCATTGGACCTGCACCTTTTATGTGCATATGCTGTTCAGACTTCCACTGAGAATCCCATTGTAATATTAAGGCTGGTATATTGATATGTGTTACTTGTACATTCCCAGATGGCCAGAACTGAGGAATGCTTGACACCATTAGTGTATTCGGATTACTAGAAATTGTTTTTTTTTCTTCTGAGGAAAAACTTTTCTTTTGATGTTTGACAGGCAAACACAATTTTACTTCCACTCGAAGCCTCATTGTCTGCTGATTTAGCTGTTATGTCTGAAGCAATCTCAAAGGAAAGAGAGAAGAATAATACCAGCATGCCTCTTATTCATGGAAAGGCATTATACCAATCTTACATTATTAGAATACGGGATGCTTACAAAAATTTAGAACCTCTGGTGCCCCCACTTGCTGACGATGCGAAGGAGTTGCACTCCTTGATGACTAAGCTTGGACGCCTTTCTAGTATTCATGCAGGGAGCCTTCATAAGGTACTTAACTAAGACCCAGTTACTCTGAGTTGCCGTTAATTATTTAGAGAAATCTTTTTTAATTATTTGCATTTCAATAGCAATACTCCCTCCATTCCATAATATAAGGCACAACCACTTTTTTTAGATGTTCCGTAATATAAGGCATGCATGCATATAGACCATTAACTATGACCTCTTCTCCATTAAATTATTACTTTTTTAAATCCTCCACTCTCATGTTCTCTAATTCTATTGGATGTATGTATTGTATTTATTAGGATGATCCAAACTACAAGATGATAATAATTATTTTCTTGGTCTTTGGGTTAGGGGTGTGTCGGTGACATGGGACCGGGAGTATTATGACTTAGAGACTTGAGGCAGACACGATCACCCACGTGGCCTAACCCCCTCGGGGGGGGGGGGGGGGTCGGGCCCGAGGGTGATACGGCCGCCCTTCTCTTTGTCTCCCCGAGGGGTCGGACCGCTCCCGTCTCGGCCCCGAGGGCCGAGGCGCCCCGACCCCTTGTGGGTTTTGCGCCGCGTATATGGGGTAGGTGAGCATAGCGGGGCTCACCTAACCACATTTATTGCGGTTTGGACGAGCGCGTCACGCCGCATGTAACGAAGTGCAGCGCGCTCGTTTATCCGGTCTGTGATCAGTCACAGACCGGTCAGATCATGGGTTAGGTGGCGACAGGCGGTCTGACGCACGCCTCGCCCCATCCCGTCAGGACAAGAGCCTCCAAGCACTCGTCCCTAGCCGGAGCCGGCGTGTTAGCTCCTGGAGATGGCACGTTGGTTCCGGTCAGATATATGCCAGGCTTCATCCTAACCATTACAGGCAAGATATTGTATGAAGAAGGGCGAACATGCAGATTGTTAAACTGACACGTGGTGGACAAGAATGACCGATTTGTGACCGGTCTGACAATGGTCATGTCGTCAGCAGACAGCCATGTTCCCACGTCGCGCCTGCTTCCGGCGGAAGTGGAGGTAGGTATGGGCCGTCCCATCAGAAGGTCATTCGGACGACAGCCATACAAATCTCCGTCCATTAATGAAGAGAAGGGAAGTAAGAAAGAGAGGGAGAGATGGTGCATGTGGTATCCCCTTGAGATATAAAAGGAGGACCTTGCCCACTTAGAGAAGGAGGAGAAAAAAGGATCCCAGAACGATTGGGGGCTGGCTCGCACTTTGTAGCTTCTTCATACACAGATCCACCAAAACACAGGAGTAGGGTATTACGCTTCTCAGCGGCCCGAACCTGTATACATCGCCCGTGTCTTGTGTGATTTCACTCTCGCGAACTTTCCACAGACCAAGAGCTTAGAACCTCACCCAGGGCCCCCGGCCGAACCGGCAAAGGGGGGCCTGCGCGGTCTCCCGGTGAGGAGCCCCACGCTCCGTCATCTGGCGCGCCAGGTAGGGGGCTCTGCGAGTGATCTTCTGAGCTCTCGCACTCTTTCGTGTGCGCCAAGCTTTTTCTGTTCAGCCCAATGGCCGAACAAGCAAAGGCGCACAACCTCTCTCCGAGCGTTAGCGGTGACGATGGGGAGCCAAACCCACGCCGTCGAGCTCGTACTCCACCGCCCCCTCCACGCCAAAGTCCTAGGCGGGAGGAGGCGCTCGAGAGGGTCGAAGGATCTGCGACTTCGACATCCACGGGTGATGGGGAAGGGCGGCGAGATGGGGAGCGTCGCCTCCTCGTCTACGGCGACGGCAGCACGCCCCAGGGCGCGCTCCAAGCTGCGGGCGCGCTCCTACGTCACCCGCCCATTGTCCCTGACCCGGAGTCTCCAGCCCAACGTTGGCTGGACGACGTGGCCAACTTGGTCATGACGGCACGGCAGCGCCTAGGTGCTGGTGGGCGGTCTTCCGCCACCAAGACCTCTGGCGCTGCTACCACCGGCTCCGTGTCGTCAAGGCGGAGGGCGCGGCGAGCGGCGGCTGTTGCTCGCCATTCGGCCACCACTCCTTCGTCAGCGCCTCCGACCCAGGAAGATCTGCGTGGGGGGCCGGATGCCCGCATCGATATCGAGCGCCGGCGTAATGGCCGACGTGCTGCCCACGCAACGGAGGGCGCCTCCTCGTCCGGAGTGTCACATCAACACGGACGCGGGGATCAGCCCTCCGTGCCCCCGGTTGGTGGTGTCGGCTGTAGAGCCTTTGTGGCGAGCCTTCGGAACGTCCGTTGGCCCCCAAGGTTCCGGCCCACCATCGCCGAAAAATATGATGGGAGCGTCAACCCCGCCGAGTTTCTCCAGGTCTACACGACCGGGATCGAGGCCGCCGGGGGTGACGACAGGGTCATGGCGAATTTCTTTCCCATGGCCCTGAAGGGACAGGCGCGGGGTTGGCTAATGAACTTGCCACCCGCGTCGGTCCACTCCTGGGAGGATTTGTGCCAACAGTTCACCATGAACTTTCAAGGCACATATCCGCGCCCAGGTGAAGAAGCGGACCTGCATGCAGTCCAGCGAAGGGATGATGAGTCACTTCGCTCATACATTCAGCGGTTCTGTCAAGTCCGCAACACCATACCATGCATCCCTGCACACGCGGTGATTTACGCGTTCAGGGGGGGGGGGGGTGTGCGGCACAACCGCATGCTCGAAAAGATCGCCTCCAAAGAGCCCCAGACTACCGCGGAGCTTTTTCAGCTCGCGGACCGAGTGGCTCGTAAGGAGGAGGCATGGACCTGGAACCCCTCCGGTTCCGGTGTGGCAGCTTCGGCCGCCCCCGGATCCGCTGCTCAGACAGGGCGGCGTGACAGGAGGAGGAAGAAGAGGTCAGCCCATACCGACGACGAGGGTCATGTCCTCGCCGTCGAGGGCGCTTCGCGGGCCACCCGAAAGGGGAGGCCTGCGGGCGACAAAAAGGAGGCCGACGCTCCCAGCAGGGAGCGCCCAACCGGCAAGTGGTGCATCGTCCACAACACTTCCCTTCACGACCTCGCGGACTGCCGCGCAGTCAAAAGTTTGGCTGAGCGGACGAGGAAGTGGGAGGAGGAGAGGAGGCAGGAGCGCCGAGAGGGCAAGTCCCTGGCGGTTCCTTCCGGCAATCGGCGAAGTGAGGCCAAGCAGAAGGCCCCCGCCGAGGACATTGATGACGGCGATGATGACCTAGGTTTCCAAGAGCCTGGGGCCACCATTGCCACTGTCGATGGGGGAGCGTGTGCTCACGTTTCTCGCAGGAGCCTCAAGGCCATGAAGCGAGAGCTTCTGGCCGCGGCCCCTACTCATGAGGCGACACGCCGGGCGCGGTGGTCGGAGGTTGCCCTCACCTTCGACCAGACCGACCACCCACCGTGCGTTGCCCGGGGAGGACAGATCGCAATGGTGGTTTCCCCCACTGTTTGCAACGTGAAGCTGGGGCGTGTCCTCGTTGATGGAGGAGCAGCCCTCAACATCCTTTCCCCCGCAGCCTTTGACGCCATCAAGGCCCCGGGGATGGTGCTCCGGCCGTCCCAGCCGATTATCGGTGTGACGCCGGGGCACACTTGGCCGCTAGGTCATATCGACCTCCCGGTCACCTTCGGTGGATCCGCCAACTTCCGCACGGAGCGGGTGAACTTTGATGTGGCGGACCTCAGTCTGCCCTACAACGCGGTCTTGGGGAGGCCCGCGTTGGTGAAGTTCATGGCGGCGGTCCACTACGCCTACCTCCAGATGAAGATGCCGGGCCCCGGTGGCCCCATCTCTGTACATGGCGACCTCAAAGTCGCGCTTGCTTGTATGGAGCAGTGCGCGGACCACCTCGCCGCCGCGTCCAAGCCCGAGGGTGGCGACGAGAGGCTTGGCACATCCGCCCCCGCCGCCCCGAGGCAGCGGATAGTCACATGCGACGAGGTCCTGGTCAAGGAGGTTGCCCTGGGCGACGGCCCGTCCAAGACCACACGGATCGGTGGTCTTCTGGACGGCAAATAGGAAGACGCGCTCGTCTCTTTCCTGCGGGCAAACGCTGACGTCTTCGCATGGAGACCGGCGGATATGCCCGGGGTCCCCAGGGAGGTGATTGAGCACCGTCTCGCCGTGCGGCCGGGCGCAAGGCCGGTCCGGCAGAAAGTGCGGCGCCAGGCCCCGGAACGTCAAGCCTTCATCCGCGAGGAGGTGGCGCGACTTCTGGAGGCCGGATTCATCCGCGAGGTCATCCATCCGGAGTGGCTGGCGAACCCGGTGGTCGTTCCCAAGGCGAACGGCAAGCTTCGGATGTGCATCGACTTCACCGACCTTAACAAGGCATGTCCTAAGGACCCTTACCCCCTGCCTCGCATAGATCAGATTGTCGACTCCACAGCGGGGTGCGACCTTTTGTGTTTTCTAGATGCATACTCTGGTTACCATCAGATTCGCATGGCTAGGGAGGATGAGGAAAAAACTGCATTCATTACCCCCATAGGAACTTATTGTTATACGACAATGCCCTTCGGGTTAAAGAATGCAGGTCCTACTTTTCAACGTACTACTCGAATTTCTTTGGGTAGCCAAATAGGACGTAATGTTGAGGCTTATGTCGATGACTTGGTTGTAAAGACGCGCAACCAAGAGACCTTACTCTCGGATCTAGCGGAAACTTTTGAGAGTCTCCGCTCCGCCCGCATAAAACTAAACCCCGATAAGTGCGTGTTCGGTGTACCTGCGGGCAAGCTTCTCGGGTTTTTGGTCTCTGCCCGAGGCATCGAGGCCAACCCCGAGAAGATACAAGCTATAGAGCGGATGCGCCCCCCCAGCAAGCTTAGGGATGTGCAATGCGTCACTGGTTGCATGGCCGCCCTAAGTCGGTTCATATCGAGGCTGGGAGAGAAGGCGCTACCCTTATTTAAGCTCCTCAAACGCTCCGGGCCGTTTACTTGGACGGAGGAAGCTGAACGTACCCTCACTCAGTTGAAGGCGTATCTCAGCTCTCCCCCAGTTCTGGTCGCCCCGGAGCCAAATGAACCCTTGCTACTCTATTTAGCGGCGACCCCGCAAGTGGTTAGTGCGGCATTGGTTGTGGAGCGCGATGAGGACAATCCT